ACTCAGATTCGGTAACCGATTTGCTGAACACCTCTGTTCTGTCGCAAGCACAAACCTGAGCTTCCAGTTTCTTGCCACTTCAACTCTCCCTCCCACTCTGACTTCTCCATCCACGGTCTCCTACGCTGTTCCATGAGCCACAGCCAAGCTCAAGGAGCAGCGCCTCATTTATCTGCTAGGGACCTTACAGCTCTCTGGCCTCAATATTGATTTCAACAATTTCAGACCATAACAGCTCACCTTCCCCCTACCCCTCTTCTGCGACCATTACCACGCCATATTGGTCTCAGACACACCTTTTCTCTCTCTGATCTGCCTATTTTTGTGGAGTCCTGTAGCTCAGTGGTTAGCAAGCAAGACACCTGGGTTCAATTCCAGGCAGGGCGAAATCTTGGGCAAGTTTCCTTACTCCACACACCTAATAATAATCCCTCCAAAAACAAAACAATAATAAATTGGTCATTTTCAATCCACGACTGGAAAGGACACTGCTGTGCGCAATTGGCTGCCGTGTTTTGCCCACAAATATATGGTCAATTCACTTTAGTCTATTCTGTGAAGCGCTTTGAAACATCGAGAAGATTTGAAAAGCACTATATCAAATGCAAGGATTATTATTATTTTGTTGCAATCTTTTACCCCACCCTTTGTTCTGCAGTATTAACACCTCTATTCCCCCGCTTTGTTGTAAACCCCCACTTTGTTTTGCATCATTAACTCCTCTTTAATTTACCATCCCCTGTTCTCTACCTTATTTTCTCCTTTGTCTTCCTTGCCCTGCCTCCCTCCTCTCTGTTCGCCCTTAAAAGCCTCTCCCTCCCAACATGCCCCAGTTCTGAGGAAGGGTCATGGATCTGAAATGTTGACTCACTTTCCTTTCTCCATAGATGCTGTCTGACCTGCTCAGAGTTCCCAGCGACTTCTGTTTTTGCTCAGTGTAATGTCGGTTTGTTTTACTCAATGATGCAAGTATATTAATAATAATAATCCTTGAATTTGATATAGTGCTTTTCACGTCGAGCGGACGTCCCAAAGCGCTTCACAGAATACACTGTAAAGTGAATTGACTGTATATTTGTGGGCGAACGCGGCAGCCAATTGCGCACAGCAATGTCCCACAAACAGTCGTAGATTGAAAATGACCAATTTTTATTATTGTTTTTGGTTTTTTGGAGGGATTATTATTAGGCTCTGTGTGGAGTAAGGAAACTTGCCCAAGGTTTTGCCCTCTGCCTGGAATTGAACTCAGGTCTCTCACTTGCAAAGCGAGTGCTCTAACCACTGAGCTACAGGACTCCACGTACGAGAGTAAGTCTAATCTATTCTCAATAAGAAATGGTGCATGAGGGGGAGTGGCCTAATTTTGTAAAAGGGGGGATTACAAAGGAAAACAATGGCAGATACATTTTCAATAATCAAGAAATAGCTAACGAAAACAATATTACAAAATCTCTTACAAAATTAAAACAATATCTTAATATGGAATTGTAAAATGAGAAACATGCCACTCATGACTTAAATCTGTAGTAATCTGTAGTAATCAATTAAATGCTGTGCGTTCCGTCCACAAAATAGACAGTCAATTCACTTTACAGTATATTCTGAGGAAGCGCTTTGAGATGTCTCGAAGACATGATAAGGCGCTATATCAAATGGAAGGGTTATTATTAATCACGAGTTAGCAGACTTGCCAAGAGGGCTCAAAAGTATGATTTCATAAAACACTGCTTTTCACTGTGCATCTTTTATGACATGATAATCAGATTTTTTTGTGTAACACATTCAAATGATCACTTTGCAGTGTATTGTAAGAGGTGTCGTCAATCCAAGGCTGCAATTCCATCCAAATGTTGGAGTTGGAGGCCAGAAATATGAATAAACATTTAAAGCCCTCAGGTAGTAACATAACTTTTTGTTAAAAAAACTGCGCTCTAAGGGTTAAAAAAACCTGTAATGTACTTTGTTGATCCAATACATATGGGGAATGATTTTGTTTAAAGTATATTGTTATATTTAGTTTTAAGAGGAATTATTGCAAGTATGAAGGGCTCTCTGAAACGCCCCACTGAGAAATTTGAGCTATCTCTGGTCTTTATCCAGATCCAACTAATTGCAGTCTTGAAAATCCACCTTTAGTAGAGATAAAGTATTAAACTCAGAGTCTATGTGTCTTAAACATTCAATTGTATGGATTTTGTATTAAATAAAATTATTTAAAATTTAAAATAAAATGTATTGTACCTAATACATTATTTGGATGTTGCTGTTATTTTCAGTATACACTAATAACACAGAAGTTGTGTATTATACAACAGTGAAATGGATAATGATCCTACCACACTGCAGGAAAAATGGATGAGGACCCTCCCAGCACAAGGGAAAATCTCTTCTCTACCAACACTTTGTGCCATCCTATCTGACATGCAGTTTGTTTTACATGAATTTTGGATCGCCTGAGTAAATCTCAATTGAGCAGCAAAGTTTGTTTCCTCAATATATTTTTCTTTTGATTCCCTTTATACGAGATTAAAAAGACCTATTTTCTCATTAATTGTACTTATTGGCTGCCTTCAACACTGTCTAGTTTTTAGCGCTGAATGCTTTCAATAGTACGTTACAGCAAAACAGATTAGCTCTTTGTTATGCTCCACATATCAAAGATAAATCATCTACCAAAATAAGCAAAATCATGGTATGTCTGTCTGCCCTTCTAAAGACTTGAGTGGAAACTATGTAAACATCCAAGTCAGTCCCTCGTCTCTCACCTTCAGCACTATTTACATCACATTGGACGTTTTCACTAACCTTTGAATTCCCCTCAATTTGTGTTCAGATTGATCAACTTATTGAGGATGAGATCCTCTAAAAAGTACAGCATCACTTAAAGCGCAACCCTGCTTAGGTACCAACATAAAACACAATCGGCACATTACAGTCTATCCTGTGAAGTACTTTGGAACATGCCACTGATGTGAAACACGCTATAACAAATGTAAGGATTATTAACATACACTGTATTGTATCTGGTTCTATAATACTTTGAGATTGTGCTGCCTGAAGATAAGACACCTCAACCTGGGAGGGAAGCAAAGGTTATTAGGGCAAAACACAACTGTTTGCTTCTTGGATGACCTTAATTTCCTGTGGTAACAAAGAACATTTTGGTGACATCATAGTCTAAAATGTTTGTTTTTGTTTATAATGGTCTCAAGAAGCGACCCCCACCTGAAAAGGGCAGTATTCACACTGCACAATTCTTAAGCTGTCCTCCCTCAAATGCAATGTACCCAAATCCAACTTAAGATGGATGCATACTGACTAGTTGGAATTTATCTCATTTCATCAAAATCTCAATTCCCTCAATAAATTCAAGTACCTTCTCTGATATTCAATTTCTGACAAAGAACTTGGAATCTTTATGGTTTGTATGGCACATTAACTCACTGAATAAACTCATTCAGCCATCAAAAAACATCTGAGCATTCCTTTAAATGCTGTGCCATGATTGGTTACATGTTGTTTGTTAAATTTTGAAAGTATAGACTTTTTCATACATAATACTTTTGACCTGATTGACTACAGCTGAATCATCTATATAGCTATCACTCTTGGGTTACCTATATTGCTAAATATTTGACCACACATTTTAGTAAATTCTTGTAATTGCTTGGAGTACAAATATATCCATAGAACAGAATAAGGAAATACCAGTTTGGATGTCTTCCAAAATGCCAGATTGAAAATACTCCCCGCATCTGTTGTTGACGGGCTTGAATGCCTGTAGATGTCATGGAATGGTTTTAATAGCGGGATCAGGGATCTGTGATCTGGGACCTAGAATGCACCTCTTAGTGCCAGCTTCATCTTCTGATGACAACACAGCATTAACACTCATGCAGAATTTAGTGTCACTAAAAATTATAAATTGAACATGGGGGGAAATGGCAAATCTATTGAAAAAGGACCACAAAAATGCTCTGTTAATGGGACTAAAAGTTACCTTTTAAAATTCCTCAGAAACAACTATTTACATTAAAGCCTCAGTCAGAAAATCCTTTCAATTTCACTGATAACTTTCCATGTATATCAATTTACAAAGGGAAAGAGAGAAAAATCTTGAGTTTTAGTCTGGACATTCAGTCAATTACTTTTACTTTCAGTTTGTTGGGAGGGGGGCTAAATTGACCATTAATTAATTTCAACAGTTCCTACCAACAATGAGATCTATTTTACGCTGCAACTTTATATTAGGAAAATTTCAACTGCAAAACAGATTCCAATCTTTTCAGGACATTCTGAACCTGCATTGAGAAAATTATGTTGGCAGGAGATAGAATGGTTACTGATGAAGTTGATAGCTGATTTCAGTCAAGTTAGCTTTCTGCTGAATTTCAAAACCCCAAATGTGAAAAAACACTGAATTTTAATTATTCCTTACAAGGTAGGATCTTTTTTGAAACGAGGCAATATATAATTTACCAAAGGCAGCATGACAAAACAATTACTTGACTTGATAGCCACTCTTTACTTAGACTTTAACACCAGTAGAAACATTTTAACGGAATGCCATAGGCCAACTGCTACTTATATTACTAATAATTTGTTTGGCAGTCAACTGAATAAGCTAAAAATATTTTCCATACAGTGATCATAAGCAAATATTTGGACAGCATGGGTTTCTATCAACACTTCTATACGATAACACCAGTGCATCCAAAAACAACATACTTGCAAGTACTTGCGTTTCTTCATGAATTAAAATCATTTGGACGTTAAGAAATGTGCACAAGTCATTGTAAGACTTTCCTACACAAATTTATATATTTGATAATGTAGTGAATGAAGTGTTACTTCCTTGTTTTGTGTTCCAACTCTTTTGAGATAAAGGCCACATCCCATTGACTTTTCAATTGATTCTCATACTGCCAGTTTAATTTTAAAAACATTGAGATGTCTGTAAATTGTGACTTCTGCATTTCTGGGACAGATTAATCACTTACTGCTCTAGAAGTTGGTCATATTTTGCCATGGCATCTTTTTCAGCTTCAACAGCACGGTCTTTTTCTGCAATCGCATTGTCTCTTGCTTCTCGCAAATTTCTGAATGAAAAGAAAACTCTAGTAAATGCAAACAATGTTATATACATCATCACTGCTATTCTAAACGTTTCTTCAGGTCTATTTTTCAAAATGTAATTAACAGTTGTCTCAGAATAGATATTTCTTCCTTTTCACTGATTAGTAGACAAGACTATTTCATTATTGCTTTAATAATAATAATAATCTTTGAATTTGATATAGCGCTTTTCAGGTCTTCTAATAAATTAGCCCATTTAAACTTGGGCTGCAATTCAGAAACAAAATAAAACAGTAATTGAAAACATTCTTCACATCTTTCTCCAGCGTGAAGAGGAGAGCAATGCGAAAAAGAAAAGAAAAGTTGCCAAAGTCACAAATTAAAAAATTCTACAAACAGAGGAGTCTGCATCAACTTCCATAGAAACTGTTTCACATGTGGTTGTCAAAACACAGAACTTTCTTCCAAATATTCTTCGGGTCACAGTGACCTTGGCATTAATAGCTATAAGAAGAAGCAAAACATATAAATGACTTGCACACGTTGGTTCAGCTGCCTCCGAGATACTACCCTGCGGGGCGGACACTATATAAGTACAAGTTGTTGTTCTTTGGAGACTTGCACACAGCTCTCCAGAACAATGTACTACAGTAGTTCAACTGAAACTTCTAAATCCCTTAGTCCATACCAGCAATGCGTTAATCCTCACAAAATAAGATAGGACTAAGATTGACTTAGAAGCTGCTTTTCAATTTGTGTAGAATTTTAGATGATCCTGGTCTGCATGGCTCAGAGCAATATTGCGTTTGTGTTTTTTTATCTTGATTAGTTCAGAGTAATTTTAGTTATGTCACACTGGAAGAACACATTATCCTGAAAGAGTGGAGTACAGGTGTTGGGGGAAGAGGGAAAACAAAACATTGAAATTTTTGGTCCATCTCCCATTATTTGCACATAATGTACAGCAATCTGGGGGTATGTCTAACTGGAAGAATAAAGCCTGGAGGTAGTTAGCTAGTAGGATAGATTAATTGATGACAAAACTAATAGTGCAGGTGGGATTTTAAATGTTAATCACAATTTCTGAAAGTCAGCAAGTGAGAAGAAAGGTCAGAGAGCAAACCAGCCATTTTGTTCTCCAGTTCTTTTGCTGTTTTTTGGTAATTAAAATGAGCTAATATTGTTCCTATCCCCATCAACATAAGAACTATTGTATCCAGCTGACTATTTGATTATCTCAGTCTAAACACATTTTTAAAATCTTCAAATAAATTCTCAAACAAGTATTTATGCAGCTTCTTTTTGAAGGAGATATGATAATACTATTGAAATATATCATCAATTGGTATGCTGCTGAGGCGCTGGGGGGTGGTATCCTATCTTTAAAAGCAGTAGGAAAATGTTCAATATTTGTGATGCAAGGATGGAAACATACTCTGGAATTTCATTCAGTTGCCTTTAGTGATTATGAAGTATTTATGCAGAAATCTGCATCAGAAGCTTAAATCGTTAAGAATTGGTAGATTTGTAGAATCGGTAGATAGTGCATGGTCAATGGAAATAACAGGCTTGATTAATTGAATATGAGCTTTTCTTGTTCCAACCATTCTTAGGTTCTTAATTAATTGTTAGGATCACCAAATCTGGAAGGTTTGGTCACCACAAAATTGTCAATAGGCAGCATTATGAAAACGCCTGTATTATTCAAAATATTTAACTGAATGTTCAATACAAAAATACACATTACAAATATTAGCTTCTACCAGAAAAATGTTCAAAAAAGAGATAAATCCTACACCTATAGAACTTATGATATAGATACAACGATAAATATAATTTACCTATTTTCTCTTTCATACATCTCTTTGGAGCCAATACGCAGATGCTCAATTTCTCGGTCTGTTTTCACTCGGATCTGTTCCAGTTCACATCGTAATTTATTTTCATATTCATTTTTGTAATGATCTCTTTGAAAAGAAGCATCAATAATTTTGTATATGTACAACCACCATAGAATGATATCCACATTCACTCTCCATACACATGGATTTTTTTTAGCAAGGGGAGCATTAAGCAGTGAATAAAAGTATTGCTGCCAGGACTTGTGGAGTCCTGTAGCTCAGTGGTTAGAGCACTCGCTTTGCAAGCGAGAGACCTGAGTTCAATTCCAGGCAGGGCGAAACCTTGGGCAAGTTTCCTTACTCCACACGCCTAATAATAATCCCTCCAAAAAACAAAAACAATAATAAATTGGTCATTTTCAATCTACGACTGTTTGTGGGACATTGCTGTGCGCAATTGGCTGCCGCGTTCGCCCACAAATATACAGTCAATTCACTTTACAGTATATTCTGTGAAGCGCTTTGGGACGTCCTCCCGACGTGAAAAGCGCTGTATCAAATGCAAGGATTATTATTATTATTATTAACTAAGATCAGCAAATTCAGCACAGGCCAAGAATTGAATCTAGGACCTGAGATTTGTGGCAGCTGCACATGTTAAAAGTATATTTAAAATCGATGAAAAGTTAAGCGAGTGTTTTAAATCTTCTGACAACTCAATTTGTTGTCAGAAGATTAAGTTTTAAAAGAAACAAAAGGCCAACTTCTGAAAGGGTTCAATAAGTTGTTCGGAATGCAATTTAATTTTGGTGTTTCTAATAATTTGGCTATTTGTACAACCTTCAATATCTAGATAGCCAATGGACCTTCTCCAATTATAACTGAGAGGCGAATACTTTGTTGATAATTTGATTTTTGTACCACATAACAGTATTTCTTCGTAATTCAATACCAGCAACATTAGTACAGCAGCAACAACAACAGAGTGCTTAACAGTAGCGGAACCTAACCTAGTATTCATTGATACTTAAAAGTTAGCAAAGTATAAACTCGTTATGCACTAGGCAATCCACATTTGGTACAAAACATTCCTGATATAGCATCTAATTACATTACCAAAAATTCTCATAGTGCTTCACAAGATTTTATATTGTGAAATGTAGGAATTATATTTTCTAGTGAATGCAGCAGCCAAATTGCTCATCGCACAATGTCTCACAACTAGCCAGGAAATGAATGACCATTTTTATCTGGAGGATTATGGGCCAGGACACTGGGAGAAACTCCTTTCTTTTTTCACATGGTTCCATGGGATATTTAATGACCACCCAAACAGGCAGAGGGGACATCAGTTTAATGTTTGACAGCATATACATCCTAAATTGTCTTCATTTTAGTATGCAAACTAATTTATAAAAAATAATAATCCTTGCATTTGATATAGCGCCTTATCACATTTTCGAGACGTCTCAAAGAGCTTCACAGAATATACTATGAAGTGAATTGACTTTATATTTTGTGAGCAAAATGCGGTAGCCAATTGCACATAGCAGTGTCGACAAACAGTCGTGGATTGAGTTGCCAAATTATTATTAATATTATTTTTTGAAGGATTTATTACCCTATATGGAGAAATTCCCAAGAAAAGCATCATACAATCATAGAATTGTACAGCTTAAATTTAAATGTTCAGTTAAACACTGAACGAAAGCCATTACATGATCACGGAGTATATTCTCATTGAAACAATTCTGTCATGACTGGTTCTCAAACAATATATAATAGCTGCACATTACTGTATTGTGTAATTCAATAATTTGGTTAGTCTCACAAACTACATGAAATTAAACTAGAGGATAAACATTAATATGGATTAGGGGGGTTCCTTCATTGGCATTTTGCTACAAACGCTAGTTATTGTGGCTTAAATTACTGGTTTTAGAACAAAAAGATTTTTTTTAAACAGAATGGAAAATAAGTAAATGGAAAGTTCTGGAGCTGATATAAAGGGAGTTCTTTATATGGTCCTGTGCATATACTTTATTCATTTTGGTTTTGAAGGAAATCTTACTGTATCTATCATAATATGTGTTGTATACACCAGAACATAATATTTAAATGATGTATCCAAGTCATTATTTTCTCCAAAAACATAGATGCTTTCTATACAATTGTTCATAGTCTGTAATAATTTACTTGTTCCAATAGGATGTTTTCTCATCCACAGATTTCTTTCTTAAAACCATTGACTTATGCTAATGTGTGGTTCCAAAGGTCTGACCATTCGTCAATGTATAGTATACAAATTTATTGCAAACGTTTTATGCTTTCATTCATTTCAACAAGTTTCAAACGACTAAAAGCAGGTATGGATGCTAAAACTTAACGGCCAAACAAATGTGGGGGTTTCAACTCATTTATTAATACAGATTCAATAATAACTGTAAAAGTTCACACTGATTAAGATAGAATTTTCATACCTTGAAACCACATATTTTTCATACATTTCTTCCCTAGCTTTCTTTGCCTCCTCAAGGTGAAGTTGCAATCTTTCTATTCGGTCTTCTTCATGAGCACATCGGACATTCATTTCCATATTCTGACGATTCAAGTACTCTTTATCCTTTTGAAGCAAACTAACAGATTGTTGCAATGCTGCCATCTGTGTGTAACATGGAGAAATAGCATCAATTGCAAATCAATACATTTCCAAAGGGTTCTGTCATAACGTGAATTGATAATTTGGGTCACATTACTGGTTGAAGAGTACTGATTTCACAAACTGGATTTGCTGCTTTTTCAAAGGACCACAAAGGATAAACTTTATTCTAGTGCAGTATATTCTGCAATTACTTCCAATTATATACTCTAGTCAACATTCAGCAGCTTATAAACCCTGTTTTAATGTCAAGGATAAAATGAATTTTCAGATGTTGATCAGCATTTCCATTTCATTCTTTGGTTCAATGTTGCAGTGAGAGCTTTAACAATGTGGTTTATGAATTGTTCTGAATGGTGGTCAGGGGGCACATGATCATCTCCTATTTTTGTGCAAGAGACAATGGATACAGTCTGATTTCAAAAACATAAAATATTAATCACCATCTTGCTGTGGAGGTTGGCTTCCCTAGTATACAGCTATACTTTTACAATGGATTTTATTGTCTATGAGTAAGAAACAAGTGATTCTTACAATCTTGAAAGCATCTTTCAAACCTGTCGTCAAAGGGGTTCTTTTAGAGGGCATTGTCAATGGATGCGCACCACAGTGCAAATATGCAGGTATGACTTCTCAATCTATTCTCAGCTGTATTACTGTCACAAAGCAGTGAATGGTGGAGTGGGGAGAGGAGACAGAATATCAAATATTAAGTCTTCATTAGTCTTCACAGGTCTGCTGACTAGTTGAACATCATTATTGTCAGAACCCTTAAGGAGATTGCATGCAGTAGCATGACCCAGCTAAACTTGTACAGTAAAAAGAAAAACAAGAGTGGGCTTTCACATTCAGATATAAATCTGAGAAATAGGTTCATCTGTAGATCGATGAGGAGATTGTAGATTCTTGCCAGGCATGTCCGCAGTGCAATATGCCTCTAGGCTGCACACCAGATCTCCTTCTCAAGGGCATCAATGGCAAATAGTTGTAAGTAAATGGAAGTCTGCATAATGTTATCCACATGTGTCAATTTTGCATCCCCTGCAAAGCCGCACATTTTCTTCACATTTCTCCTAAAGACCGTAACTTACTAGGCTATGGTTCAGAACTCCAGAATCCATCCCCCCTCCCCCGAATTTTGTGATCTTTCTTCATGTCTGAGCCCAGGGTCACAAGGAAACAGGGGATCAGCATTCTTGACTTGATTTGCTTCCCTCTGAGCCCAGGAAATTAACTGTAAATTTAAGTATGGGCCACCATTAGCAAACTCTATGGAAATACAAGTTGCTTTTGCTACTAAACATCCCATTACACTATTCAAAAAGATGAAGGAGTTTCTCCTTGTGCCGTGGCCAAAAATCCTCCAAATTAATTGGCCATTCTGACTGGGGTCCATTGTTGTTGGAAACAGTTGCCTCATTTTGCATTTACAAACAGATCTCAGCTAAATTTTATCCACCTCCTTCCTGACAGTTTTTACAGAATATAGAGACAGAAAAAAAAGGAATTAAGGACCAATTTAATGTTTTCCTTTAATGTTTGATTGGAAGACCAGTGCTAATATATTAGTCATATGATTTTATGCACTATTTGCAGGCATCTTGGATCAGCTTTGGAAGTTTCACAGAATTAACATGAAATGTTTGGTTTCACTGGAAAGTGCTGGACATAAATCTGTGTTATAAGAAAGATCTTCCTCAGAGACCAAACATAAATACATACATCCGCAACATTGCCCGGCTCCGCCACTGTCTCACACCGCAGGCTGCCGAGACCCTCATACGCACATTCATAACATCCAGGCTCGACTATACCAACTCCCCGTTTATCAGCCTCCCCAACTCCTCCCTCCAGAGATTGCAGATCATACAGAAATCTGTAGCTGTTATTCTCTCCCACACCAGGCTCCACAACCCTATTACCCCCATCCTGCCCGACTCCACTGGCTTCCCATCACACAGAGGTTACAGTTCAAGATCCTGGTCCTCACTTTCAAAGCCCTCCATGGCTTTCCTCCCCCCTATCTCTGAGACGTTCTAACTCCCCTACCAACCTGGTCGCTCCCTCTGCTCAGTGGGCTCCGGCCTGCTTCACATCCCCTGCCTCGCACGCCCCACCACTGGCTGGCAGACCTTCAGTCGCTCTTCCCCTACCCGCTGGAACTCCATCCCGCATTCCCTCCGCATCGCCCCCTCCCTTGCCTCCTTCAAGAGCCATCTCGAGACCCTCCTCTTTAACCAGACCTTCGGTCAAGCTCCTTCTCCCCTTGCTCTCCACTTTCCCCAATCCCAACCAGCTCGTGTCCAAAATATTGATTATCCAGCGTTTTGGGACATCCTCCTGACGTGAAGCGCTATACAAATGTAATTTTGTTGTTGTTACATTTTCAAGAAAGAGTGCAGTACACTAAAATTTAGAATTAAAATTATATTAGAATTGTTTTGTGAAGATTCTAACTCGTGAGAATAGATGAATATGAATTCCAATAACAAGAAATGGAACAGAAAGAGAGTTGTCAGATGAGTTTGCTGTATAAAGCTCAGAGGGAAGTTATAAAGGGAAGTATGGTTCAAGGCTACAAATCTTTAGTAGTCAGACACAGTTGGATTTCTTATAAAGATGAAAAGCACTAAATGAAAAATGGATACCATTTGAAAATATCAGACCATAAGTTTTCTAAGTGTCTTTTTCACTCATGCTTACATATAGCATTTTTATCAAAAAAATAATAAATTGGTCAATTCAATCTATGACTGTTTGTGGGACACTGCTGTGCACAATTGGCTGCCGCGTTTCGCCCACAAACATACAGTCAATTCACTTTACAGTGTATTCTGTGCAGCGCTTTGAGACGCCTAGAAGACGTGAAAAGCGCTATATCAAATGCAAGGATTAGTATTATTATATAGCATTCTTCTCTTTTCTCCTGATTCACAAACTGGTGAAAACAGAATGGAAGAAAGCATTCAAGTTGGAGGTAAGAAACATGCAAGCACTGAAGTCTGGATCTAGGAAGATGAAGAAGGTAAAATCGACATCAGTATACATATACCTCGTTGGATAAGTCATTTTTCTCCTTAGTTTGTGCCTTATGTGTGATATCCAGTAATTCAAATTGTTTTCTGAGCTCTGAAGTATCCCGTTCAAATGCCTCTCTCTCACTAAAACAAAATACATGGAACATGTAACATAAAAATCAACAGCAAGGCAGAGCTTTGATAACATTTTGCAGAATAGATTTTTATCTCACTATTCCAACATCAACCCTAAAACATTGCCACAGCAAATTAACAAAATCTTTGATTTTTCACCATTTTTACAAAAACAAACACACAAATTGCATCTTATAGTGTGCCTTTCATATCAGGAGGGCATGCCAAGGTTCCAGATAGTTGAGGATTTGCACCCGAACTGAAAGTTAGATTTGGGAGATGGGAGTGGGAGATAATCGAACGTGCAGTCAAAGAGGAAAATCTTGAGATGGACCTTGAAGGAAGGGTGGAGGGGAAAGAACTGCGCAATGGCGTTCCAGAGAGTGGGGACAGATAGGCTGAAAACCCGACCACTGATGGTGGAACAGGCAGGTATTTTCTTCCTGTTTTTCGAAATAACTGACTTTGGACATCCTGGATGGATTCTGGGTATCTGTTACTTTTAAAGATAGCCTCAAGACTGGAAAACAGTGACTAACTTGAAATAAAGATCTGTGAAGAACTTTGAAATGTTTTGACATGATGAACTATAAAAGTTCAAGATGTTCCTTTCTTTACCAAAGAAATAAAAACATACAGATAAAACAACTGAACAGTGTACTTACTGCTTTACTCGGTCATAATTTTCTCTCTTATAATCCCTTGCTGGATGAGCTGCTTGGTGTCAGCTAACTCTAATGTAAGACGCTGACATCGTACCTCAAGATCACAGCGAATTTTCCTTTCATTTTCATAGCTCTAAAGAAGTGTGAAACAGTACAATAAAAGATTAGTGTTAAATAAACCTGCTTTGCATAAATATATTTTTTACTGAACTCTAATTTCCAAAGTGCTGTACAATTCAGTTATAAAGTATGGTTTATTTCTTTAGATATAACAATTTTAATTACAGTTGAGCCCCACTGTTTTATTGATCACCATAAATAGATACCATTATTTGTTTAAGAGTTTTGTACCATAATTGTTTTGCTCCTTACATGGATGGAGAGTTAATAGTGTCTATGTTACCCCTAAGCATAAGTAATTACCTTCAGGAGAGGTGGAAAAAATTGTAATGCATCTACATCCCTGCCTAGTGAATGTTAAGAGTGGTGTTAAAAAGGGCTCTCTAGCCAGCGTTACCCCTTCAACATAAAAAGTTTTCTAATGGAATCCCTTGTATGCCTTGCAGATCAGAAAGGTTCTGAATTAGTGGCTGCAATAGTGAGGGGTTATGTAATTGGCCTGAGATCCCATCAGTGTGGACACCATGCTGGGTGATGCACAGGACATTCCATGGAGAAAAAGCTGTTGGATATGTGTTTACTGGCAGCTACCCAGGTACAGAGCATTTTAAACATGATAAAGGATAATAATTCCTTTGAAAAAAATAATAATTCATTTCAAAGTGGTTTGAACAGAACAGCACTTCTTATTTTGAGCCTCCAGATATTGGATTTAATCCAGAATGGAGGATTTGTCACTTAGTAATGGATCGTGTTTCTTGTCCCGCCACAGCAGCTGACCCTTCAGCCTCTATGCCCATACCCTCCGGATCTCTCTCCCCAAATTATTTTGACTTGTCCCTCTTGCTATTGGTCTTTAAAAGCAAAACCTTCTTCTTTAAGCATGCTTACAGTCACCTCCCCTATCCTCCCTATTTGATGGCACGCTCTCTGTTTAATATTTTGAGATGTCACTCTACCAGAAATGTGCTATGAATTCAATTTGTTAGAACTTCAAACCTTGACCAATGTGGCTCTGTGGTTCTAAGACATTCAATTGAGGAAGACATCAGATTTACATTCTGATATATGCTAAATTAACTGAAATTGTGCAGAATCAATGGGAGTCCGAGCATTAGCGTTTCTCTTAAATTGAGAACGCATGAAAGACCATGGGCTATAGAGCAGTACATTCAAGGTGGAAAAGCACAACAGAGAAATAAGGAAAGTCAAGAATAAGTGAATTCTTATTCACCAACCTTGGCAGTTTTCTGAAAATAAAGTTTAATGTTAAAATGTGGAGTCTGATGCAACTTTGTAAGAACTTCGCAAACATCAAACACAAATTCAATATGTGAGTCGAAAACCACAGTGTAATCATAACTTTAATCAGGTCACTGGGCAAACCATAACTTGCTTGTTTTTCCAAGCATTCTATATCCAACTAGAAATAATTTCTGACTTCAAAAAGTTTCAACAATATTCCAGCCAAATCATCTAGAGACTTGACCATAATTTATATCCATGCCTATTATTCTCTCCCTACCTATATTCTTTCCGGATTAAAATAAAGCTCAAACTAAGTATGAGCGTTGCACAATTTAAAGTTTGCAGTCAGGCATCCGATTGTGGTGGGTAAATGTTAAGTCAGGCTTTAGACTTTCTTTGGTTAATAATTTGGGCATTTGGCTCCTAAATACTTTTGAAGCCAAATTTGAATTTTTAATTTTTTTTTAAACCAAATAGTCTCAACATTGATTAGCTTCGTCACATTTAAAACAATTATATATGCATAAAATATGCTTTTCACCAAATTTTTACTTGGAAGTACTTTAACTTCATCAACAGTCATTACATTAAATTAAGTTTAATACAGGGATGAGGAATTTAAATTATGTGGAGAGACAAGAGAGCTGTGATTGTTCTCCTTGGCACAGAGAAGGTTAAGGGGAAAATTTAATAGAGCTGTTCAAAATCATGAGGGGTTTTGACAGAGTAAATAGGGAGAAACTGTTTCCTCTGGTAGGTAGGTCAGTAATCAGAGGACACAGATTTAAGATAATTTGGAAAAGAACCAGAGGGAAGATGAGGAGTTGTTACCTTCAGGGGAATGCACTGCCAGAAAGGATGGTGGAAACAGATTCAATAGTAGCTTTCAAAAGGGAATTGGAAGAGGTGTTTAAAAGAAAAAAATTACAGGGCTATGATATAAGAGCAGGGGAGTGGGATTACTTGGATAGCTCTTTCAAAGAGCCACCACAGACACGATGGGCCAAATGGCCACCTTCTGGCTCAATAGCTGGCACAAAAATAGCTGATCGGCAATGGGATTTATCTAATGATGAGATTGAAAGGTGCAGAGCAAGCGCATTCCAACAAAGAGCAAAGGGCATGCAGCAAAGCAAACATATCAGGAGAAAAATGAGCAACAAGACAGAGTTGTTACGGTCTGGAATGCACTGCCTGAAAGGGTGGTAGAAGCAGATTCGATAGTAGCTTTCAAAAGGGAACTGAATAGGTACTTAAAAAAGAAACATTTGCAGGGCTGTGGGGTAAGAGCAGGGGAGTGGGACTAGTCGGTAGCTCTCTTAAAGAGCCGGCACTGGCACGAAGGACTGAACGGCCTCCTTCTGTGCTCCAAGATTCTGATTCTACACAACCACTCAATGAGCACCGACAATGTCATTAAACGAACACATCCATTAATACTTAAGTATGCCCAAGTATCTAAAGGTTTAATTCAAAATAAAGTTTTGAGAATTACAAACCTCAATTAAGGAATTCAGTTGAGTTTTCTGGTTATTGCACTCCTCAGAAAGGTCAACTTTCTTTTGCCGAAGCTCTTCAACATTCTCCTTCAAAGGTCGAACAACTTCATAAAAACGTATCTATTGAAAAAAATAGGGCTGTGCACGTTATGGTCACAAACATCAAGTGCTAGATTTCAGACATACTTAAGTACCTTGATACTAACCTATAATTGTATCCAGTTGTTTTTTGATAATCTTCAAAGTATATGCGCAACCAATTATTTAAAAAACATACACATTTAAAAACATCAGATTTTTCCCAAATTATGGAAGTTACATTGCTCTCTGCAGACACAAAAAATCTTTCTTGTTAATTATTTCAGCACGCATTAATTATTACTGCAAAACATGAGTCAAGAGGAAGCAAGTGTGCCAAAACAATCATTGCACAGAAAAATCCTTGCACTGGTAATTCTGGTAGTGAACCGAGTCATGGAAACAGAATTCGCCACAAATGCCAGGACTGAAGAATGCTTTTCTTGACATGAACATTCACTTCTGCTTGGGTGTGCTCAAATTTGAATTACTTTGAATTCACTGATACAAAAAATACAAAAATAGTTAGAGACTAGAAATAATTGGAATTTATTATGGTCCATATAATGTAAATATGGAACAGACACAAAGCAAAAACAGCTAATCCTACAGTGATCATAAGAACATAAGAATTTGCTAGATGAAAGAAGATCAAAGTTGATCCAGTGCGCCTTCCACCATCCTGGCAGTCACACAACACGTTGTGTCCCAAACTGTATATTGTGTCCCGAAATATTATTTCCTAACAGAAATCTACTCAATCTATCTAATCAACTACTTTAACATGAAAATAACAGGAGTAGATACAAATGATTAAACACTCCATAAAATGCAATAAAACACAATAATTCAGACACTGATAGGATTATGATCTGTAGAATGCAGCAAATTAGATAGCAAGGTGAACCACAGCCAATTTTGTGGTGGCAATGGTCCAAATGCAGCACAAAATACTCCTAAATTCTGAGACTATATAGTCCTTGCATTTGAAATAGTGCCTTATCACATTGTTAAGACATCTCAAAGCACTTCACAGAATATATTGTAAAGTGGATTGACTGTATATTTTGTGTGCAATTGTTACCATTTATGTTAAATACCTGTCTAAATCTGCCCATTTTTAGGATGTATTGAGAAGTTGTAGAGTTGGATGTTCAAAAACAACGCTTCAACTGAAATAAACAAGTATAATATTGAAACTGGGTTCATGACAAATTCTGCATATTGTTCTTTTTATAGCCATTTATAATAGTTTGAAACTCCTTCCAAAAAACACTTTTGCCAGATTGTTGATAACATGAGTATGTGCAGGTTCATAGTAAACAACTTAGTTCTTAGAAAAACATTTTCATGAAAATGTGGCCTCTGCTACTGGAGGGAGCTTCACATTTGCATCCTTTGCAAACAATAGGCCACAGTAGAGACAGCAGCAGAGCTTCGTTTTTTTACAGTACTATTATTGAACAAAGGTCCTGTTAGTGGTTACATGCAATATAACTTGAAACTGAGCATCAGGTAGTTAGATCACTACAATAATATTTAAATATATTAATTAGAAAGAAATTAGGGTCTGATAAATAAAAATAAATAAAAATCAGGATTTCCCCTGTTAAAAACTGATGTCATCACTCCTATCCTAAAAAAAACCCTCCCTAGACCCTTTTCTACTCCCTAACTACTACCCCATCTCCAAACTCCCCTTCCTCTCTAATGTCCTGGAACGAGTTGTTGCTTGTCAGCTTTGCTCCTTCCTCTCCCACCACTCCCTTCTCGAACCCCTCCAATCGGGCTTCCGTGCCACCCACAGCACAGAAACCGCCCTGGTCAAAGTGACAAATGACATTCTGTCCATCTGTGACCAGGGTTCCCTCTGCCTCCTCGTCCTCCTTGACCTCTCTGCTGCCTTCGACATCGTCGACCACTCTATCCTCATCCACCACCTCTTCTCTCACCTCAATTTTCACGGTGCTGTCCTTGATTGGTTCAGATCGTACCTCTCACACCACCTGCACTTCATCTCTTCAAATGGCTCCTCCTCCAGCCCCCGGACCATCTTGTGCGGTGTTCCTCAGGGCTCTGTCCTTGGTCCCCTCCTCTTCAACATCTATATGCTCCCTCTTGGTGACATCATCCTCAGACATGTATGCGGATGACACCCAACTCTACCTCTACCCTCGACTCCAGGACCACTGCTGTGCTGACAGAATGTCTGTCAGACATCAAGTCCTGGATGAGAGCTAACTTTCTACAGTTAAATGTCAAGAAGACCGAGGCTCGCCTGATTGGTTCCCGTCAGTGCCTCCTCACCTCAGGCGCTGACAGTATCACCATTCGTCGTTGCACACTCCACCTTACTAAGCCAGTCCGGAACCTTGGGGTCTTGTTTGACTCTCAACTATCCTTTCTAGCCCACATCTGCGCCATGACCCGCTCTGCCTTCCCCCACCTCCGTAACATCGCCCGGCTCCGACACTGTCTCACACCGCAGGCCACCGAAACCCTCATACGCGCCTTCATTACATCGAGGCTCAACTATGCAAACTCACTGCTTGTCGGCCTCCACAACTCCTCCCTCCATAGGCTGCAGATCATCCAGAACTCTGCAGCTCGTGTCCTCTCCCCATCCTTGTCCAACTCCACTGGCTTCCCATCACACAGAGGAGACAGTTCAAGATCCTGGTCCTTACCTTCAAAGCCCTCCATGTTCTTGCTCCCCCCTACCTCTCCGACCTCCTAACCCCCTACCACCCTGTTCGCTCCCTCCGCTCAGCGGGCTCCAGCCTGCTTCACGTCCCCCGCCTTGCTCGCCCCACTATCGGCGGGCGGGCCTTCCGCCACTCTGCACCCACCCTCTGGAACTCCATTCCGCAGTCCTTCCATCTCGCCCCCTTCCTTACCACCTTCAAGACCCACCTCAAGACCCTCCTCTTCAACCGTGCTTTTGATCTCCCTGCTTCCCCCACTGCCCTCCCCCCTCCCCCACCCCGACCCTCAGCTCAGGTCCGTAACTCTTGTCTGTCCAGCGCGTTGGGACGTCCTCCCGACGTGAAAGGCACTATATAAATGTTATTTTGTTGTTGTTATTAATTGTTACTTTCAGTTCATGAATTTCAATTTGGAAGATTCACGAAAACCGAAAAAGTTTTTTTAAAAAAGTGTGAACTGCAAATTCTAAGTCAATGTCCCAAAAATTGCTGGCAAACTCAGTTCTGACTGTTTTGCTCATTTTTGGACATTGAACAATTTAGAATCAATAATTCTTCAGTTGTGATTTTCACAAATCGAAAATAATAATAAACATAACATATGCAGCTTGTGAACATCGCAAAATTATACAATCTTTTCTTGCAATTAGGACTTCTTTAATATCAGTTTCTATGAATTGATACCATAGCACTACCTAGTGTTGGAAATCATCACTACAGACCCACTATAGAAGGATTTAAAAGGATTTCAACCCTTTCAGAAAAGTGAGTTGATGAAAAAACTGCTTCACTACTTTGCTTTTTTATAAAGTACTTTCATAATCTGTATAAATGTTACTTTAAAAAAAATCAGTTCCTAAAGGTTTCCATGTTTTCTCATTAAAAATCTCAATACCGGCAGATAAATAAATAATAATCCTTGCATTTGATATAGTGCCTTATCATGTCGTCGAGACATCTCAAAGCACTTCACAGGATTTACTGTGAAGTGTATTTTGTGGACAACTGCAGCAGCCAGTTGCGCACAACAATGTCCCACAAACAGCCACTGAGTGAGTGCAGTATATAATCACCAGTGATAATTAACACACCATTGAACAGTCTGATCCAAATCTGCCTTTGGCTAGATATCTTTGGGAGTGACCTTCCTGAACAATGATATTTTAATCCATTTTACCTAAAATGTACAAAACATGATATGGTTTCCTCAGATTCTGATATAATAGCCTTCTCAGAGGAAAAATATATTTTACATAAGTAATTACTTATAGAATACCCGCCACATGGTAATGAACCGTGCAATATTGGTTCATCATCACTCAAGAGGAATAAGTACTGGAAATGAAGATGTTTATATTATAAATAATATTATAATATGTCTCAAATAATATGTCTCAAAGCACTTTTTCCTGTAGTTATGCTAATCAAGTGTTCTTTCAGTAACAATTGACAATAATAGCTCTTGTGTAAGTGAAGTTAAAGGCATCTTAATGTGAAGTCTTTCATGTGTGTCTAACATGCCACCTGACAATTAAGATAACTATCAAAGCAATTTCAAACCCAATAGCATGCCTCCTGGTAAACGTGTATTAGCCTGACCTTAGCTGAGATCAGTTAATTCAGTACAGATTGGGATTCAAACCTCTAACCGTATGTCTTAATATGCCACTTGAATGTTGCCAGTGCCCACTATGCTGTGTGAAAACATCACTTCAGCCTGGAAACTATATACTTACAAATATAGGACTAACCAGTTACAATTTTTTTTCAAAAGATTTCTGGGGCTTGTGAATACTTTCCATTTTGGGTCTCATTCCATTCTCAGATGCTATAGCGACACCAGTTATGTGATGCATGCGTCTCAGAATTCACTTCAAAGAGCGTTGGCAACTTTCCACTGGCTTGAGCTAATGTGACCAAAGGATTAAATTAGCATCAAAAACAGTCATCGGTCTTTAACTTACAGACACATATTCTGGGATGGAAAGTTGGTCTTCAGGTCGAACTTTCAGCTCAACGTACTGTTCCTCACTCAATTCCAGATCTCGCAGACCTCGTCGAATATCACCTGCTCTATCCTGCAGTTGCTTATTTGTTTGTTCAAGTTGCTTCTGTCGTTCTAGAATGGTTTCCAGTTCCTGTTTTCTTAGATCCTGACGTCTCCTAAACAAAAAAAATCAGTGTATAGCAAACCCACTTGTCGGTGTTGTATTTTTTAAAAAATAACATAAATGGTTTTATTGGAGTTTTAGATGAAGAAGAAATAAAACCACTTACCTGTAGTTGGGGGAAGAGGCAAGAAATAATATACATGACTAAGATACCTGGTATTAGATACTGATAGCAAATAAATCCAGGTTTTATGTAAATACATTCTTGTTATTCTAGTTCAGTTCCAGAAACTGATAAAAAATAAAAATGATGAAATAATTTCAGCAAAACCCATATATAAAACATTTGTCCTGGTTTTCATTTTTTGTAAATAATATTTAAAAATAATACACCTCCAAATCTGTTTCGTTTCTTCCTTTCTCTTCCTTGTCTCTCCCCTCTCACACAGCCCCACATGCAGATAAAGTGTTCTAATTTGATATTCTTTCAAAATGTAATAAATAGCTCCACCATTGGAGAGAGCTCCTCTAATCCAAATTCTCTGCTAGTTACCTGTTCCTATTTGTACTATTCCGCTTCAAATGTTCATCCAATTCCCTTTTAAATGTTATTTCAGCCTCAATGGGCATGTATGGCAAAGCATTCTATTCTTTAATAATAAAGAATAATAATCTTGGCATTTGATATAGTGCTTTTCACATCTTCTAGACGTCTCAAAGTGCTTCACAAAATATACTGTAAAGTGAATTGACTGTACTTTTTGTAGGTGAAACACGGCAGCCAAGTGCACGCAGCAGTGTCCCACAAACAGTCATGGATTGTTTTGTTTTCTTGAGGGATTATCAGGCGTGTGGAGTAAGGAAACTTGCCCAAGGTTTCGCCCTGCCTGGAATTGAACCCAAGTGTCTCGCTTGCAAGGAGAGTGCTCTAACCACTGAGCTACAGGACTCTACCTTAATAAACCTCTACGTAAAAATGTTTCTTCCAACCTTCCCATTCCAAAGAAAATTATGAACTCATACCTTTTTGCTACTGAGTCACCAACTAATGAGAATAATCTTTCACTAGTTTCTAAAAACCTTTCAGAATTTTGAAGGACTCTTCTTAATCTTCACTGTTCCAGCGAAAACTGACCCATTCTTTCCAAGCTTATACTCACAACTATAACCTCTCATTCCTAGGATCAACCTTGTTAACATACCCTGTATTCTTTCATGCCTCTGATGCCATCTGTAATAGGCCGCTCAGGACTACACTAAATACTCCACTGCAAGCCAACTAACATCTCATAATTTAACATCAAAACACCACTTTTGTGTTCAATATCTCTATTAACCCAGAATCCTAATTGGTATTGTTGACTTTTCTGCCAGCAATAAAAAGAAAATTAAATTACAAACCTACTCAATTATTGCAGGCCTTGAAAATAAGTCTAGCTTAAATCACAGCAGGTCAAAACTTGAACATAGCATGACAAACTGGTATTCACATCATTTACAGTTGTTTAAAAATAAAAAATAAAGTATTTGGTTACAATGCTAGTATTTTGCATTTTGTTAAGGACTGTTTTCTCTTATATGAGAAGAAAAGTGAACAAATTGACTGAATGAAAGTTGAAGTGAAAGGTTATTTTTCTACTGCCTCTGACTGACCTGGCATCTTCCTGCTGAATCTTCAGTTGGTTCTCTAAACGGACCTGAAGCAACTGCTTCTGATGAAGAGAATCATTTAACTTTTCCTCCAAATCCTCAATCTGTATAAAAAAAACCAAATCAAAAATTGGAATTGAGATTGTAGAACAGTTGCACACCAAGGATAGTCGCTGACAAAAGGCTCACTACACTCAGCTTTTACTCAGTGCAAGTCAGACAGCAACCAATTCAATCCGCATTGCATTATCGGTTTGCTGCTCATTATAGCACAATCACAATAAAAGGGCTTGAAATTATTTCCGTGATAACTGATTTGTTCCAACGTTTTAGGTGCCATAAATTAACACTGCTGCTAATCCTTGCAAATTCATGAACTGTGTTACAGTTGGTCCGTCTGTGAAAGCTAGATTAGTGAACATTGCAATGTTGAACTGTGTCTGCTTTTGGATCTCTTCCAAAACAGGATCTGGAAGAATTAACTGTTACATTCCAACAGCTACAGCAACAAACATTTATATAGTACTGGAATAATGTTTTTCCTGTCAGATTCAACCAGTTACATCCTGGAGTCACCCAGTACACTAAATTGATTTTGTAGCCCTACTTGCAACCTTTGAACTTTTAAAGAAAGAATTTTCACAGTTAGTGTAGTTGCCCTAAGAATTATTCATTAAAAAATATTTTAAATCTTCTCTTCAAAGTGGATGTGAAACTATGGTTACCTACTAAAAAATATTTTGAAAGACAATGTTACGTCACGATATTTGAGATCCATAAAATCTACAGTGAGGCATAATAGCAGATCTGATTGTGTATATGTGGAGCCAACCAACTCGCTCTCTGCACCAAAGCCAGTTCCCACTCTAAAAGAAAGATAACTTTTGTTTGCTACACATGTGCAAAGCAGGAAGTGACATTGGTGATGATCCTATAACCATGAAGTTAGCCTTCATTTTACAACAACTTACATTTATATAGTGTGCTTCTCACAGGGTAGCATCTTGAAGCACTGAACAATGGTAGAGTTTGACGCCGAGCTGGGGAGAAACGTGACCGTGGGCACAGTCGAAGAGGAAAGTCTTCAGGTGCAATTTGATGACAGGTAATGAGGAGAGCAAGCAAACAAGCAAACCGGCAGTGCAAATACATAGGGAATGGAGTTCACAGAGCTACCTGCTAACTCACTGTAAAGAGCACATCCTTCAGATGAAATGGTAAACCGAGGTCCCATCTGCCAGTCCAAGTGGACATTAAAGGTCCCTCTATTCAAAAAGAGAGGGGAGTTTCTCCTGGCCAGTAATCCGCCAAATAAAATTAATCACTCACTTAAAGATTGTCTGTGGGACATTGTTGTGAGCAAATCGGCTACTGTGTTCACCCACAAAATACAGTCACAAAACGTCAAAGTATCTGCTGTAAAGTACTTTCAGATATCTCAACAATGTGATAAGGTACTATATTGAATGCAAAGATTATTAGCATTATTAATACATGTTAACAGTACTTACTTGAGTGAGATAATCTACTTTAAGGTTATCGATGATCAGATTTTTCTGAGATAACTCAATCTTCAGCAACTGTAGGTCATGGTGAAGTGCTTTTCTCTCAATCAACTGCTTGGTGATTTTGGTGGAAGAACTTTCTCTTTCTTCGGATGAAGAAATGTCATCTGTTGGCACAGTAGTTTCCAAGCTTATGTCCTCGGACTCAAAGGAACTGCATACATGGGCCTTACAGTCATCTTTTCCCTTCTTTCGGGACATTTCTTTGCAAAACGTATTTTCAACAGAAGATAATCACTGAACCCTAAATATAAAATAAATTGATTTTTAAACTGTTGTTTCCTTGAAGACCTTGATACATCCAACATATATCCATTTGCATCAACAGAATCATTATGAATACAAATTGTATTTAAAAAAGACAGAAAAAAACAAAAAGTAATTTATAAAAGAAAATAGAGATGCAGAAAGGAAAATAGTTAGAATTACTTTTAATCTTTAAATAGGTATAAACACTGGTGTAGAATTCTAGCTTTTTTATTTGTTCCTTTTTTATGAGAGAGATTAGTAACAACAATTTTATGCTTATATAGCAGGTAGTAAGTGCCCATTACTTTTGCAATTCTGTTCTGATATTTATTTATATATATATATACTGTACATAAAAAAACCCAGGTGGAATCCGTGAACAAAATACTTATCCAAAGGACTACTATTGCTCCCTAACCTAATACGTACACGTTAGCAATACTTCAAGGTTTAGTTGTTGACTCGCTTACACCTTGTTCAGTTTATCCAGCACAGTTTGGTTGAAGGAATTGCCATTCAAGTAATGCAGTAATTATACGATCAGTTTTAAAAAAAGGATATGGGGAGAGATGGAAAGTAGGATCAAAAAATGTTTTTATTTTTTAAAATGCAGATTGTGCAATGGCTCGGAAATAATTGCTTCTTTCTCTGCAGATGTTTTTTAAGATAACTCTTGAAATTGTGCTGATGCCACTCTGATTCCAGATGTTGAAGTGATACAGGTGGCCCTAAATCACTGCAGTTTTGTAATAAAGCACTTCACAGAATATACTGTAAAGTGAATTGACTGTATATTTTGTGGGAGAATCACGGCAGCTAATTATGCACAGTAGTGTCCCACAGTCATGGATTGAAGTGACCAATTTATTATTTTTTTTTTGAAGGAATTATTACCCCCGGAAAAGCAATCTGCCAAACGACTAACAACCGGATTACTAACAGAGCCAATATGGAGTAAGGAAACTTGCCCAACATTTCGCCCTGCCGGGAATCAAACCCAAGTCCTCTCACTCGCGAGGTGAGTGCTCTAACCACTGAGCTACTCCACAGGACTCCACATACTGCAACAATAGTTACAGTATAAAATAATAATAATCCTTACATTTCGTAACACGTCTTTCATGTGCAAAACATCTCAAGGTGCTTAATAGGATTTACTGTAAAGTGTAGTGGATTGCGAACGTTGTAGATGAACGAACGTATCAACCAATTTGCACTATCTGTAACCATTTTTTTCTGGGAGATTGTTGGGCAGTATACTAGGATAAACTCACTGCCACCCTTCATGGATGCACTCTGCATCTCACGGAGCCAATCCAGAACCTCAGCGTCCTGTTCGACCCTCAACTGTCCTTCACCCCCATATCCATGCCATGACTCGCTCCGCCTTTCCCCCTCCGCAACATTGCCCGTCTCCGTCACTGTCTCTAACAGCATATCGACAAAACCCTCAAACACACATTCATTATATCCAGGTTTGACTACGCAAACTCACTGCTTGTCGGCCTCCCCAACTCCTCTCCCCAAAGGCTGCAGATCATCCAGAACTCTGCAGCCGTGTCCTCTCCCGCACCAGGTTCCACAACGCTATCACCCCCATCCTTGCCCAACTCCGCTGGCTTCCCATCACACAGAAGATACAGTTCAAGATCCTGGTTCTCACTTTCAAAGCCCTCCAACGCTTTACTCTTCTCTACCTCCATGACAACAACAAACAAAGTTACATTTATAGAGCGCCTTTCACTTCGGGAGGACGTTCCAAAGCACTGAACAGTCAGGGGTCGGGACCCGAGCATGAAGGAGGGGTGGTGTTGGGGTGAGGGAAGGCAGAGAGTTGGGAGGGCGACCGAAGGCACGATCGAAAAGAAGGATCTTGAGACCGGTCTTGAAGGAGGCAAGGGAGGAAGCGAGGCGAAGGGACAGTGGGATGGAGTTCCACAGTGTTGGGGCAGATGTTGAAAACCTGGCCACCGATGGTAGGGCAGGTCGGGCGGGATACATGGAGCAGACCGGAGCCCACTGAACGAAGGGACCAGGCAGGTTGGTAGGGAGTCAGCACGTCAGAGAGGTAGGAGGGGGCAAGGCCATGGATGGCCTCGAAAGTGAGGACAAGGATCTTGAATTTGATCCTCTGAGGGAGGAGGAGCCAGTGGAGTCGGGTGAGGGTGGGAGTGATGGGGTCAGGTGTGGGAGAGTACACGAGCTGCAGAGTTTTGGATGATCTGCAGCTTGTGAAGAGTTGGGAAGGCCGATGAGGAGGGAGTTTCCGTAATCGAGCCTTGATGTGACAAATACGTGGGTGAGGGTTTCGGCATCCTGAGGGGTGAGGCAGTGGCAGAGGCTGGCAATGTTGTGGAGGTGGTGGTCATGGCACAGATGTGCGGGAAAAAGGACAGTTCAGGGTCAAACAAGACACCCAGGTTCCTGTCTGGCTTAGTGAGGTTGAGTGTGCAGCCATGGATGCTGATGCTGCCAGGGCCTGAGGTGCGGAGGCGCTGGCGCGACCCAATCTGGAGGGTCTCGGTCTTGCTGACATTGAATTGGAGAAAGTTGTCCCTCATCCAGGAATTGATGTCGGACAGGCAGTTGGTCAGGACACCAGTGGTCCTGGAGTTGAGGGTGGAGGCAGAGAGATAAGAGTCGAGTGTCATCCACATACATGTGGAAATTTACCCCAGGTCTGTGCATGACGTCACCAAGGGGGAGCATGTAGAGTGAAGAGGAGGGGACCAAGGAAGAACCCTGAGGAACACCGCACGAGATGGTGTGGGGACTGGAGGAGAAGCTGTCTGCAGAGACGAAGTGGAGGCGGTGTTAAAGGTAGAACTTGAACCAGTCAGGGACAGAACCTTGAAGGTTGAGGTGGGAGGAGAGGTGGTGGAGGAGGATTGAGTGATCCACGGTGTCAAAGGCAGCGGAGAGATGGGAGGAGGACGAGGAGGCAGAGGGAACCCTGGTAGCACATGGTCAGGATGTCGTTTGTGACCTTGTGTGTTCATAGAGGGAGTGGGAGGAAAGAGTGGAGGTGGGAGGCAACGGCTCGTTCAAGGACCTTGGACAGGAAAGGGAGGTTTGAGATGGGCCAGTAGCTGGATAGCTGTGATGGGTTAAGGGAAGGTTTCTTCAAGATGGGGGTGATAATGGCTGTTTTTAGGGGGGTAGGAACAGTGCCAGATGACAGGGAGAAGTTGATGATGGAGGTTGATGACCTCCTAACCCCCTCCCAACCTGTCCACTCCCTACGTCCCCGCCTCGCCTGCCCCACTATTGGCGGGCGGGCCTTCAGCCACTCTGCCCCCACCCTCTGGAACTCCATCCCGCTGTCCGTCCACCTCGCGCCCTCCCCTGCCTCCTTCACGACCCGTCTCAAGACCCTCCTCTTCAACCGTGCCTTCGGTCGCCAACCTACCCCTACCCTCCCTGGTTTCCACCGTCCCCGATCCCGACCCCCAGCTCGGGTGCGGATCCCTGACTGTCCAGTGCCTTGGGACGTCCCCCTCTGACGTGAAAGGCACTGTACAAATACAATTTGTTGTTGTTGTTGCTCTTTTCAAGTAGCGCAATGGGGATGTTTAACATCCACCTGGACAGGCAGACAGGACCTTGGTTTAACGTCTCATCCGAAGGGACGGTTTCTCCGACAGTGTCGTCACAGGTCCCCATCTTCACCTTCACCGCCGCCGACAGGAAGAGATTACACTAACAACAACAACAACAGGAGGTTGTGTGTATATCACCTTTCACGTCGGGAGGACGTCCCAAAGCTCTGAAACCCTTTTTTATTGTTAATTTCCACTTTGTGGGGAGACAGAGAGAGAGAGAGAGAGAGAGGGACAGACAGAGAGAGGGACAGACAGACAGAGAGAGACAGAGAGAGAGGGACAGACAGAGAGAGAAGACAGAGAGAGAGAGACAGAGAGAGAGGGACAGACAGAGAGAGAGAGACAGAGAGAGAGAGAGAGACAGAGAGAGAGAGGGACAGAGAGAGAGAGAGAGAGGGACAGACAGAGAGAGACAGAGAGAGAGGGACAGACAGAGAGAGGGACAGACAGACAGAGAGAGACAGAGAGAGAGGGACAGACAGAGAGAGAGAGACAGAGAGAGAGAGGGACAGAGAGAGAGAGAGAGAGGGACAGAGAGAGAGAGGGACAGACAGAGAGAGGGACAGAGAGACAGAGAGAGACAGAGAGAGAGGGACAGAGAGAGAGAGAGAGAGAGAGGGACAGAGAGAGAGAGAGAGAGAGGGACAGAGAGAGAGAGGGACAGACAGAGAGAGGGACAGACAGAGAGAGGGACAGACAGAGAGAGGGACAGACAGAGAGAGAGAGACAGAGAGAGAGAGGGACAGACAGAGATAGGGACAGACAGAGAGAGAGAGGGACAGACAGAGAGAGGGACAGACAGACAGAGAGAGACAGAGAGAGAGGGACAGACAGAGAGAGAGAGACAGAGAGAGAGAGGGACAGAGAGAGAGAGAGAGAGAGGGACAGAGAGAGAGAGGGACAGACAGAGAGAGGGACAGACAGAGAGAGGGACAGACAGAGAGAGGGACAGACAGAGAGAGGGACAGACAGAGAGAGGGACACAGACAGACAGAGAGAGAGAGAGAGGGACAGAGAGAGAGAGGGACAGACAGACAGAGAGAGGGACAGACAGAGAGAGGGACACAGACAGACAGAGAGAGAGAGGGACAGAGAGAGAGAGGGACAGACAGAGAGAGAGAGGGACAGAGAGAGAGAGGGACACAGACAGACAGAGAGAGAGAGGGACAGAGAGAGAGAGGGACAGACAGACAGAGAGAGGGACAGACAGAGAGAGGGACACAGACAGACAGAGAGAGAGAGGGACAGAGAGAGAGAGAGGGACAGACAGAGAGAGAGAGGGACAGAGAGAGAGAGGGACAGACAGAGAGAGAGAGGGACAGAGAGAGAGAGGGACAGACAGAGAGAGAGAGGGACAGACAGACAGAGAGGGACAGAGAGAGAGGGACAGACAGACAGAGAGAGAGAGAGAGAGAGGGACAGAGAGAGAGAGAGAGAGAGGGACAGAGAGAGAGAGAGAGAGGGACAGAGAGAGAGAGGGACAGAGAGTGGAGCTTCTGTTTCAGTTACTGATCAGCAGTTCGCGTAACCGTAACAGACCCTTAACAACGAGCAGTGCCCAGACTCCACACACCCTCTCCCTGGCCTGGCCTGGCCTGGCCTGGGCCTGCGCTCACTCGCCCACACCACACCCCGCACTACACTGCACTCACCCGGTATCCCCTGACCTCCCGCCCGCTCTGTGTCTGAGCCGCTTCAAACTGCCGCCTCCAACCGGCGGCTCTCACTCACTCACTCGCCACAGCAACAGCCCCGACTGCCCGCCCGCCCACAGCGCTCACCCGCCCCGCCCCGCCCACAGCGCCGCCCAGCGGCCGGAAGTCACACCACGTTTGTAGCTCAATCATCCCAACACGAGCCCAAAAGTAGCCCAATGGTAGCACGCGCGTGGCCAATTGAGTGAGGTCAGTGCTTTTGAAACCGTGTAAGAAAAGGTTTGCAAAGGGCAGAGGGGGACACGCTTTGCGGGTTTACGTCATTTATTATTATTATTATTGCTATTTAAACATTCAGCATCCGAGCCCAAAGCTGTTTTTTTTCACACAGCGCGAAAAGAAAAATACCCGCCCGATTGGGCGTGAAGCCGCATTTGGGCGAGAGAGTCAACCTCGCTCCGAGCCTCCCGTCACAGCGCCCCCGACCGGCAGCCACAGGCCGTGTTTTGGCCAACAGTAAACATCCCGGAGTCACTCTGATTCGGAGACGGTCGTTCTCAGGAGGACGAGCGGTTGCCCCTCGCGCTCGCGTCGTACGTTTACGGTCGCATCGCAATTGTTTACTTACATCTTTACCCGAATAATTCATGTCGCCGCCACAGTAATGCTACTGAACAGTTATTGTATCATTCTTAGTGAAGCAAGTGCAGCAGAAGTCATTGAACCTAAGAAGAAAACATGTCTATTAAAAAAAAAGGATTTAAAACCGTGTGTATATGAAACAAATCGAGCACTGCAGAGAGAGAGAGAAAGTACTGTAAATGGGGTGAGGGGGGAAACAGAGTGACGAGGGAGGAGTAAGTGGAGAGGGGGCGGAGGGGGGTTTGCCACTCCGGGTATCTGGTAGTCGGCCGAGTGCGGGGCCGGGACCGGGGCCTGAGGTGCGAGAGGTTTCTGCACATTCACCTGATCACAGCCCGAACCCCGCGTGTGTGTGTGTGTGTGTCTCACTCCGTCTCCCTGTGAGTGTGAGTGAGAGTGAGCGGCAGTTTGCTGTCGGGCTGTGTGAGTGAGTGAGTGAGTGTGAGAGTGAGTGTGAGTGAGTGTGAGCGGCAGTTTGCTGTCGGGCTGTGAGTGTGAGTGAGTGTGTGTGAGTGTGAGTGAGAGTGAGCGGCAGTTTGCTGTCGGGCTGTGAGTGTGAGTGAGTGTGTGTGAGTGTGAGTGAGAGTGAGCGGCAGTTTGCTGTCGGGCTGTGAGTGTGTGAGAGTGTGTGAGTGAGTTTGCTGTCGGGCTGTGAGTGTGAGTGAGTGTGTGAGTGAGTGAGTGTGAGCGGCAGTTTGCTGTCGGGCTGTGAGTGTGTGAGAGTGTGTGTGAGTGAGTTTGCTGTCGGGCTGTGAGTGTGTGTGAGTGAGTGTGAGTGAGTGAGTGTGTGTGAGTGAGAGTGAGCGGCAGTTTGCTGTCGGGCTGTGTGTGAGTGAGTGTGAGTGAGTGTGAGTTTGCTGTCGGGCTGTGAGTGTGAGTGAGTGAGTGTGAGTGAGTGTGAGTTTGCTGTCGGGCTGTGTGAGTGAGTGAGTGTGAGTGAGTGAGTGTGAGTGAGTGAGTGAGTGTGAGTGTGTGAGTGTGAGTGAGTGTGAGACGATGCTCAAGTCCAAGACGCTGCTGAAGCGGACGCGCTCGGGGTCGGTGCTGAAGTTGGTCCGAGAGCACTACCTGAGGGACGACATCGGCTGCGGCTCCGGGCGCTGTGACCTCGCGCCCTGCGGGGAGAGCGGCAGCGGCTCAGCCCTCCAGCCCGACCCCCCCGCCCACTGCAGCAGCCTCTGCCCACAGCCTCACTACATCGTGCCCGACACCAACGTGGTGCTGCACCAGGTACTGTGGTAACAGCACTCGCCAACACGAGTACCCTCCCGAGTAATACCTCCACGAATAGTAGTAATGAGCCTCTGAATGGCGATGCCATCCCTAGTAATAGTAGTATCACTAGGAATACTGATACTGTAACAACACTAGGGATATAACGCTGGGAATAGTAATAGCATCCCTAGGAATAGTAATAGCATCCCTAGGAATAGTAATAGCATCCCTAGGAATAGTAATAGCATCCCTAGGAATAGTAATAATATCCCTAGGAATAGTAATAGCATCCCTAGGAATAGTATTTGCATCCCTAGGAATAGTAATAGCATCCCTAGGAATAGTAATAATATCCCTAGGAATAGTAATAGCATCCCTAGGAATAGTATTTGCATCCCTAGGAATAGTATTTGCATCCCTAGGAATAGTAATAATATCCCTAACCATGGTATTTCAGCGCCTTGGGACGTCCTCCTGACGTGAAAGACGCTCTATAAATGGAATCTTGTTGTTGTTGTGTTAGTATAATGTGGTCTTGGTCAGTCTGGGTGTCTTGACACACGTGAAAACCGTCACCGTGCTTAAAAGTGTGCAAATCAAACAGTTCTGTGTGTGCCATTCCAATGTGTTGCACCCTCTCTCCGTGGGGCACATCCCGCTTACCTGATTCCGGAGAGTATTAGACGCAGGTTGGCAAAAGCCAAGGCCTCGGGGGACCCCAGAGTGTGAGTTGGGGGTACAGCTGGAGTCTAATCAGCGAACACCACATAGCTTGCCATTGAAAGTACTTTGGCAAACCTCCCCGCTGCTTGTCTAACTAGGACCATCCAACCTATTAGGGCTTACAGGGTTAACAGGAGCTGAGTTGGAAGAGTCACTGTCCCTGGTGACTAGTCTGCTCCTCCCAAGTCCTACCAATGAGCCAGACAGGCTCAGTAGTGTACTAATAATAACTACGATTAGTAATAATCACCCATCTTCAACTCAAATGCCAACTGCGAGGCAATGCTGGACTTCCTCGAATCCAAAGTCGAGGGAATCCGCTCAGCTGCCACTGCAACTGCTACCCCATCTCCTCCTCCCACCCCGGCCCCTACCCACCCCTCCCTCCACACCTTTGAACCTATCCCCCCTTCCTTTCTCATCACCACCATAAAACGTATGAAACCCACCATCTGCTCCCTCGACCCCATCCCTACCCCCCTCCTTACCTCCCAGCTCCACCTCCTTGCCCCTCTACTCACTGACATTGTTAATCTCTCCCTGTCCTCTGGTACTTGTTCCCACCCCTTTGAAAACCACTGTCATCATTCCTATCCTTAAAAAAATCCCTCCTTAGACTCTTCTCTACTCCCTAACTACCGCCCCATCTCCAACCTCCCCTTCCTCTCCAAGGTCCTGGAACGAGTTGTTGCTTCTAAGCTTCTCTCCTTCCTCTCCCACCACTCCCTTCTCGAACCCCTCCAATCGGGCTTTTATGCCGCCCATCTGCGTCCAGGGCTCCCTCTGCCTCCTCGTCCTCCTTGACCTCTCTGCTGCTTTCGACACTGTTGACCACTCTATCCTCATCCACCGCCTCTCCTCTCACCTCAACCTCCACGGGGCTGTCCTTGATATGTTCAAATCGTACCTCTCACACCACCTGCACCTCATCTCCTCAAACGGCTTCTCCTCTAGCCCCTGGACCGTCGTGTGCTGCGTTCCTCGGGGCTCTGTCCTTGGTCCCCTCCTCTTCAACATCCCCTCTTGGTGACATGATCCGCAGACATGAGGTCAACTTCCACATGTATGCGGACGACACCCAACTGTACCTCTCTGCCCCCACCCTTAACTCCAGGACCACTGCTGTGCTGACAGAATGACAGAATTGACATCAAGTCCTGGATGAGAGCTAACTTTCTTCAGTTGAACGTCAACAAGACCGAGGCTCTCCTGATTGGCTCCCGTCAGTGCCTCCTCATCTCAGGCGCTGACAGTATCACCATCCATGGTTGCACACTCCACCTTACTAAGCGAGTCCAGAACCTTGGGGTCTTGTTTGACTCTCAACTATCCTTTCTACCCAACATCTGCGCCATGACCCGCTCTGCCTTCCCCCACCTCTGTAACATCGCCCGGCTCCGACACTGTCTCACACTGCAGGCCACCGAAACCCTCATACGCGCCTTCATTACATCGAGGCTCGACTATGCAAACTCACTGCTTGTCGGCCTCCACAACTCCTCCCTCCATAGGCTGCAGATCATCCAGAACTCTGCAGCTCGTGTCCTCTCCCACACCAGGCTCCACGGCCCTATCACCCCCATCCTTGTCCAACTCCACTGGCTTCCCATCACACAGAGGAGACAGTTCAAGATCCTGGTCCTTACCTTCAAAGCCCTCCATATTCTTGCTCCCCCCTACCTCTCCGACCACCCCCTACCACCCTGTTCGCTCCCTCCGCTCAGCGGGCTCCAGCCTGCTTCACGTCTCCCGCCTTGCTGCCCCACTATAGGCGGGCGGGCCTTCTGCCACTGTGCATCCACCCTCTGGAACTCCATCCCGCAGTCCCTCCGTCTTGCGCCCTCCCTTGCCACTTTCAAGACCCACCTCAAGACCTTCCTCTTCGACCGTGCTTTCAATCTCCTCCACCCCGACCCTCAGCTCGGGTCCGTAACTCTGTCTGTCCAGCACCTTGGGACGTCCTCCCAATGTGAAAGGCGCTATACAAATGTAATTTTGTTGTTGTTGTAATAGCAACAATGCTAGAAATAGTAGTAATAACCATAGGATTAACAATAGTAAAAATAACCCTAGGACTTTGAACTCCTACAGTTTAGACTGACACTACAGTGCATTGTCAGGTGCTGTCCTTTTGATGAGATAGGAACAGGAGAAGGCCCTTCGAGCCTGTTCCGCCATTTAGTTAGATCATGGCTGATCTGTACCTCAATTAATCCTTTCAATTCCATTTCCTGCTTTCTCCCCATATCCCTTAATACCCTGACCTACAAAAAATCTATCAACCTCACTCTTGAAGCTGTGGATGGATTCAGCATCCACAGCCTTTGGGGGAGAGAATTCCAGATTTTTACCACTTTTTGAATGAAAAAATCTTCCTAATTTCACTCTTCACTCTTAATTTTAAGACTATGCCCCCTTTTTTGGATTCCCCACCAGAGGAAATACCTTCTCTGTATCTACCCTATCAATCCCTTTATCATCTTAAATACCTCAATCAAATCATCCCTCAAGGGAATACGATCCAAGTTTACGCAGCCTTTCCTCGTAACTTAACCCTTTTAGGCCTGGTAACATTCTGGTGAACCTGCGCTGCACCCCCTCTAAGGCCAGTATATCTTTCCTGAGGTGTGGTGCCATGGTCACATCTGCCTCTTCATGTGGACATTAAAGATCCCATGGCACTATTCGAAAAGAGAAGGGAATTTCTTGGGAAAGTCCAGTCTGACATTCCCTCAAATAAAATTGGTTACTCACTTCAAGGTTGTGTGTGTCATAGCAAGTTGGCTGCTGTATTCACCTGCAAAATACACTGTCAGTATACTTTAAATTGTGAGTTTGAAAATGATAGGTTTCTTATTCTTGTATTCATTTCTCTTAGATTGATATCCTTGAAGATCCTATGATTCAAAATGTGGTGATTCTACAAACCGTGTTGCAAGAAGTGAGGCACCGAAGTGCCCCGGTTTACAAAAGAATTAAGGATGTTATTAACAATGCTGAGAAACATTTCTACACTTTTACAAATGAACATCACAAGTAAGACAACAGAATCAATAGTAAACATTTCTTACATTCATAGTCTTCTTCACTGTTTACAAATTAGTTATTGTATTTACAAAACATTTCAGTATTGTACACAGTTACATCAAAACAAATGTTGCCACCCATAAACCAAATTGCTTTGTTTAGAAACTTTCCTTTGTGGAAGTTGGCTCAGTGGCAGCACTCTTCATCTCTGATTTAGAAGGTTGTGATTTCAAGCCCCATGTCAGGCCTTCGCATGAGACGTTAAACCGAGTTCCCATCTGCCTGTTCAGGTGGATATTAAAAGATCTCATGGCACTTCGAAAAGAGAAGGGAGTTTCTCCCAATTTCCTGGCCAACAAACTGGAGTCCTGTAGCTCAGTGGTTAGAGCACTCGCCTCACAAGCGAGAGATCTGGGTTCGATTCCCACAGGGCGAAACCTTGGGCAAGTTTCCTTAATGCACATGCCTAATAATAATCCCTCAAGAAATCTCCTACCGTATTTCACCCACAAACATACAGTCAAGCGCTACATCAAATGCAAGGATTATTTTATCCCAAAAATGACCCAAATAAAATTGGTCACACACTCCAGGGCTGTTTGTGAGACATTGCTTTGTGCAATTGGCTGCTGCATTTCACCCACAAAATACCCATTTCACTACCTGAAAAACTGTAAAATGCTATTTCTAAAACATTTGGTTGTTAGCCTAAAATGATAACATTGTATCACAAATAGACCTAAATGACAATATGTATAAGTACATAACTTGTGGAATGTGTTACTTACTCTAGAGATACCTACATAGAGCAAGAAAAAGGTGAAAATGCGAATGACCGCAATGATCGAGCGATCCGAAAAGCAGTGGAATGGTACAATGACCACATTCAAAAATCACTGAATGACTCAGCGGAGCTTCAAACTATTTTAATAACAAATGACAGAAAAAATAAGGAGCTTGCTGAGGAAGCTGGCCTCATAGCATTCACGTGTACGTATGCATTTCATGTAATTACATATCTGCTTTGGTATAGTATAAGTAGTTGTCAGTATCCTATTCTGCATAAATTCTGTGATTTTTCCTTGTGACAGGAGAGAGGAAGATGTGAAACAGTGATGATTTCTGATTTTTACAAATGGACTTGACAAATACCTGACTGGGATTCAGTGAAGCATTATATGTAATAATAAACCTTGCATTTGACATAGCGCCTTATCATGTCTTTCATGACACATTCAAAGTGTTTAACCAGATATCACTGTGAAGTCCTCCCGACGTGAAAGGCACTATATAAATTTGTTGTTGTTGAACTGTAGTGACTGTATTTGGAGGTGATCGTATTTAATATTCAATGACTCTTCATCATGTATTCCATTCATATTATAAACGTTCATGTTCGTTTTACTATTTTTAAATGTTCTGTTTATATGTCACGTTTACTTTGTTACTGATTGCTCTATCCCGGTACAATGTTGGTGACTGAGGTTCCTATGAGTTAAGTGAGAGGTTTTGCTGCAAAGTACTATTCTTAGCAGGAATATTCAAGAATGCTCCATAAAATATAAGTGAACAATTTCATTTGCGTAATTTTATCTTCAATGGAAGATTTTTCAAAATACATAAATCACTATACAGTACTATTAAGTGTTTAGAAGTAGCAAAAGCCATGCAGCACTTACAGTGTAAATTAGAATCACATTTTATGTATAAACTTTATAGAATGTAATGTGGACAACAAACCCATTTGTGAATTAGTATCAGTTGAAATAGAGTCAGCAGGGGTAAGTACAAAGTTATAAAAAGCAAATAAGCCTAGGAATTTTGTGTTATGTTCAACTTAAATGGAGTCAAATAGTCCCAACTTTTATCTTCAGCAGAACATCAAGTACTGCACATATAGCAATTTGAAAGATGTCAATGGAACAACAGCAATTCTTGTAAATGACTGAATGAATGGTTGCTGTTTGGATGATGGTAGTAAGGAAGGGGACCATTGGACCTTGCTGAAATAGTGTATACTTTTTATTAGGATCTAGCTTTACAAAACTGGACCTATCTTACAGATTTAGTACTCTCCATTAATGGCATATCATTTTTTTGAATTGTGAAGCTGTACATTATTTTTAAAGTGGTTTCTGGTTACCTGTTGTGTTAGTAACAAACATTTCTCTTCCTGATTTTAGGTGAGGAATACATCAAAAGTTTGATTGCTAGCCCTGAACTTGTTGATCGCCTGGCTTGTATTTCAGATCTATCTGTAAGTTTCATATTAAAATTAGAAAGAGGAGAAACAGGGTTCAAGTTTAATATTGCAATATTGCTTTATTCAGGGATCAAAGGAAAATAAGAATGGCAAAAAAGCAATGATTATTGGTTTTATTTAAGATGCAGATTATTATACTACAGAAGTGTTCTTGCAAATAGGTGAACCAGAGAATTCAAGGAACTGTTTTGATGCCACTGAATCCAGCAAGTTTGGCAATGTTTCTTCATAATGGGAATTTCCAATTCTATGTATACTTTGTCAGATGTTTTGAGCAACTCTTTTATCCATTGGGCGAAGTTCAGTTGCTGGGATTGTCTTATTCTGGTTCCAATAGGACTAAGTTTGTTTAATATTCTAGATTTATTTAACCTATCTAAGGCTTTGCCAGATATTGATCAATGTCCTTTGTAAAGATGTTAATTAGCACAGGTTTAAGTGGTTCTAGCAGGAGTCTGTTTCAAAAAATTACTATTTTGTAGGTAAAACAATTCTTCAAATTTTTGGATTTGCTCCTTTGGATTTGTTTTATTTTTATTTCCAAATGTGAAATCAAATTTTAATTTAAGTAACCCGCTTGGAACTATGTTTTCTGTCAGCATTTTAAAGAATCTGGTTATGATTATCTCAATCTTTTCTTCAATGAAAACATTTAAATTTTTCTGAGTCCTTCCTCATAATTTATAGTTCTAAATTTAAGTGACAGAATAATCCGCGTCAATTTCACTTTCGAAAGTAGGCTGCCAAAAGCTGCGCATAGGATAAACCTTGCAGGATATGGTCAGACATCTTGTGAATCAAAAGTGGATCTTCATCACAGCATTACCGTTGTTTAGAAGATTTTGATGTTTAGGACATTTTAAAAAGTAACCTTTATCTAACAGTAATCTGTTCTGCATACATCTGAGATCTTAAAACACAATATAAACTAAAATATAAATAGGTTTCACCAGTTATGACTGAAGTATTCCCAGGTAATCTGCAGCAATGCAAGGAGTAGAGGCAGTACGGTTGCCTACCATACATGGTCTATAGACAGAACAAGCTTGATTTGTTGAATAGTTTTTTTTTCCTGTCCTATTCTTTGATTTTCTTATGTTCTTATGAACAGCTCCTGGACTTTGACAAAGACAACATTTAATTAGCACAACATAAGTTTATTAGGTTGTGTGTTTCCGACAAGCCCATTGTACAACAGAATATGAGAAAGGTATATGAGAAAAGGCAATCCAACCTGTTGTTGTTGTTTAGCTCCTTGTCCACAGACCATTTTGCAAAAGTTTTGTTGATGGCAATACAACAGCAACACATTAGTATTTGCATGGAATTATTAGTCTATATTTAGGTTTTGCACATACCTGTATCAGCACGACACTGTTATAAAATGGTATGAAAAATGAGCACTCTGTCCACAAAACCTTACCTCAGGGGTACATTAGCATGGTGTTGCTTAAATTTTCTGACTGTTATTAGAATAATAATAAATATATAATAATAATAATCCTTGCATTTGATATAGTGCCATATCGCAACTTCTAGATGCCTTAAAGCGCTTCACAGAATATATCGCTGTAGGAGTCAAGTTCTACGCTTGCAAGGATTACAATTCTGTGCATGTTTTCAACAAACATAAAATTTTGTTTAATTGTAGAATGAAATACAGAGTACTAAGCTGATCTTTCCAGAGCATCTGCCTCTATCCAGAATACAACAAGGCTTAAAGTCTGGTAAGTACATCCAAGGGAGCTTCAGAGCCAACAGAGACAACTATCTGGAGGCTACTGTCTGGCTGCATGGAGAAGAAGACGAGAACAATGAGGCAAGTTTATTTCTTCAGTTTTAATCAATTTATCTACAGGCCTTACTGTCATTTTTGTGTAATTTACTGTTGAGGAAACTCGATGACATGCTATTCTTTCCACACATCCGCACTGATATTTTCTCAGATCTAACCCAGTAGATGGGATGATCTACCTGCACTGTCTGTAATGATCCTGTATCAGTGTATGAGTTTGGTCATTTTCAACCCAGTTCTTAATTGCTATTTTCATAGGCCAGCATGCATTGGCATTTAAGAACATAAGAATTAGGAGCAGGAGTAGGCCATTCGGCCCTTCGTGCCTGCCCCGCCATTCAATAAGATCATGGCTGATCTTCTCACCTAACTCTGATTACCTGTCCTATCCCCATATCCCCTAATCCCTCTATTTTTCAAGAACCTATCAGTCTCAGCTTTGAAAATGTTCAAAATGTTTGAGCATCTACAGCCTTCTGGGGTAGTGAATTCCATAAATTCACTACCCTATGAGTGAAGAAATGTTTCCTCAACTCTGTTCTAAGAGGCTGACCCTTAATTTTAAGACTGTGACCCGTGGTTATAGATTCTCCTACCAGGGGAAACAGTCCCTCTGTGTCTACTTTATCCAGCCCTTTAAGAATCTTATAAGTTTCAATAAGATCCCCCTAATTCTTCTGTACTCTAGAGAATACAGCCCTAGTTTATTCAGCCTATCCTCATAGGTCAGTCCCCTCATCCCAGGAACTAACCGAGTGAATCTACGCTGCACCCCCTCTAGGGCAAGTATGTCCTTTTTTAAATAAGGAGACCAAAACTGCACACAATACTCTAGGTGCGGTCTCACCAAAGCCCTATACAGTTGCAGCAAGACTTCCCTACTCTTATATTCTAAACCTTTCGAAATGAACGCTAACATGCCGTTCGCCTTCTTAGTTGCTTGCTGCACCTGCAAACTAACTTTTTGGGACTGGTGTACAAGGACACCCAAATCCCTTTGAATACTAACACTATCTAACTTCTCCCCTTCCAGAAAATAATCTGTTCTTTTATTCTTGCTACCTAGGTGAATAATTTCACACTTGCTAACATTGAATTCCATCTGCCACCTACTTGCCCACTCCCCTAGCCTATCTATATCTTGTTGCAATCTTTTTGCATCATCCTGAGAGCTCACTCTGCTACCTAGTTTAGTATCATCCGCGAATTTAGACACATTACATTCAATGTCCTCGTCCAGATCATTGATGTAAATGGTAAATAGCTGAGGCCCAAGCACTGATCCTTGTGGCACTCCACTAGTTACATCCTGCCAATTCGAGAATGATCCGTTTATCACTACTCTCTGCTTTCTACCCGATAGCCACTCTTCTATCCATGTTAATATTTTCCCATTAATCCCGTGGGCCTTGATCTTGAGTAACAGCCTTTTGTGTGGCACCTTGTCAAATGCCTTCCTAAAATCCAAATATACCACATCTACTGGTTCCCCCTTATCCAACCTGCTGGATACATCCTCAAAAAATTCTAAAAGGTTAGTCAAGCATGACTTCCCTTTTGTAAAGCCATGTTGACTCTGCCTAATCTTTTTATGGTCTTCCAGGTATCCCATAACTACGTCTTTTATTAAGGACTCAAGAATTTTCCCTACAACTGACGTCAAACTAACTGGTCTATAGTTTTCCCTATTTTCTCTCCCACCTTCTTAAATAGTGGAGGTACGTTTGCAATCTTCTAATCAATGGGAACTTTTCCAGTATCCACAGACTTTTGGAAGATTATAGACATGCCACTGTCTCAGTAGCCACCTCCTTTAAAACTCTCAGATGCAGGCCATCCGGTCCAGGGGATTTATCGGTTTTAAGACCCGACAATTTACCTAGAACCATCTCTTTACTAATGTTAATCTCCCTAAGTTGCTCGCTAACATTGTCTTCTTGGTCCTCTATTTTTGGTATGTTTCCAGTGTCTTCTACGGTGAAGACTGTAGAAAAATACTTGTTTAATGACTCTGCCATGTCTTTGTCCCCTATTATAATTCCTCCGGTCTCTGCCTGTAATGGACCCACATTCACCCTCGCTAGCCTTTTCCTCTTTATATATTTGTAAAAACTCTTGGAGTCTGTTTTTATGTTCTTTGCTAGTTTGCCCTCGTAATCTATTTTCTCCCTCTTGATCAATTTTTTGGTCCTCCTCTGTTGTTCCCTAAAGTTCTCCCAATCCTCGGGTTTACTACTCATCTTCGCTGTTTTATAGGCTTTTTCTTTTGATTTGATACTTTCCCTAACTGCTCTAGTTAGCCATGGCTGCACCACCTTTCCCATGGCATTCTTATTCCTCAAAGGAATATGTGCTCGTTGGGAATTTTGCACTATCTCCTTGAATGTCTGCCATTGCTGGTCTACCGTCAAATCTTTAAGTTTAGTCTCCCAGTTTATTCTGGCTAAATCCTCTCTCATACCAGCAAAGTTGGCTCGATTTAAATTGAAGACTTTTGCTTCAGACTTAACTACTTCCCTCTCTAACTTAACGCTAAATTCCATCATATTATGATCGCTTTGCCCTAGAGGAGCCTTAAGTTCCAGTTTGCTGATCAGCCCTGTTTCATTACACAAAACAAGGTCTAATATGGCTTGTTCCCTGGTCGGCTCCTCAGCATATTGATCTAGAAAATTATCTCTAATACATTCTATAAACTCCTCTTCTATGTTACCTTTCCCAATTTGGTTGTCCCAGTCTATGTGCAGGTTAAAATCACCCACAATTAGTGTCTTTCCTTTGCTACATGCTCCACTAATCTCTTGATTTATACCTTGAGCGATACTTTGACCACTGTTTGGGGGTCTATAAACTACTCCCACTATAGTTTTCTGCCCCTTGAAGTTACGTATCTCTACCCATACTGACTCTACATCTTGCTTTTCAGATTTAAAATCTTTCCTCTCTACTGTTTTTATCCCATCCTTTATTAGCAGGGCCACTCCCCCTCCTCGTTTACCACATCGCCTATCTTTCCTATATACCACGTAGCCGGGAATATTCAGTTCCCATCCCTGATCACCCTGTAACCATGTCTCGGTGATGGCTACTAGATCATACCGGTTTATCTCTATTTGTGCAACTAATTCATCTATCTTGTTACGAATGCTTCGTGCATTCAGATATAACACCCTTAATTCGGACTTCCGGCTATTAACCCTATTCACCAGCACTCTTATCACTGTACTTCCTTTCCCTGCTTGACACACTTTGCTCTTCTCCCTTGTTAATCTGCTCTCTTGCTTTTGTTGATCTCAAGTTTAACTGTGGTGGACTATACTTTACTATGTTTTTACCTCCCCTCACCCCCTTAGTAGTTTAAAGCCCTGTATCAGATACAAAGATTATTACTGGTAGGATTATTATTTTTCAACTGAAGATAGAGTAAAGATATCCAATGTGGTAATAGTTGATCACACTGGCCCCGGAAGGAATGCTCTTCTTAGATTAGGTTAAACCACATTGTTTGGGCTCTAATCTTAATTTAGAATAGTAAAAGTGTTGTTTGATGAACACAAACATGTAGATTTAATGAGAAATTAAGTACTATATTTGTTGAAAAAGTGATTAATACAACAAAAGTAGGAATAATTATCAGCTTCTTGGGAAAGCCTGGTATAGAACATGTCAACAGTACACCTGCACTATAAATAGACCACGCTAAATCGTGTTGAATTCTAATAGGGTTGACTTGTATGTTGTAAAGGTAAATTGAAGTCTTTTGTTGAAATTGTATGTTTATCAGAACAGGTCTAACTTCAGGAGTGTAGGTTTCTTCCAAAATGTGTTCTTCATTAGCTTTGTAACATGAGAAGAAGATTCATACATATCAGAACCATGACAGGGTCATTCAAAGCTCATTAAAAAAAATCAGATGACTACAGATTATCATATATAAATGATTTTACAGGTCCTCATACAGGGACTGAAGAATCTGAACCGAGCTGTACATGAAGATCTAGTAGCAGTTGAATTACTGCCCAAAGAGAGTTGGGTGGCACCATCAGCTGTCATCCTTCAGGATGAAGGGCAAGTTGACGATGAAGGAGAGGAAGAGAAAGAAAGTGTAAGAAATTCAATGGTTGTGTATATGCTGCAATACTTTCATAACTCAGGCTGAAATGTGCAGTTTAGAGATTTTTAAACAATTCAGCTTATTAAACTTTCTGTTTTAATATTTCAAAGATATTTCAAAGCAAATCTGCATACAATATGCATGAAGTCTTGAAAGTTAAATCAGTAAGTGGAGCCCTTTATTTTGCTAGGTGTTGCCATGAACCACAAAGCAGTAGTTGTGGTTTCTGTTTTGAGTGGCACTAACTTCTCTTCATTCATCATCTCAGATTAAAACCCATAAAACCTGTTCCTAGGTTGTCTCTAGCTCATTCTACATTTGTGGTTTCCTTTAAGTGAATATTTGGATATTGGGATCAAGAGGATTTATGCACATTAAGAATTTTCAGTAAATTATAATTTTATGAAATAGTCCAAATGATCTCTTAAGTTTTTAAAATGATTTTAAATTATTTTAAGGTTGTTACAAACAAGAAGTTTTCAAAGGCAACTGGTAAAGTAGTTGGCGTGATCAAAAGGAACTGGAGATCGTACTGTGGTATGTTATCAAAGTCGCAGATTAAAGAGGTAAGAATATTGTTAAAAAGGATAACTTTTTATTTGATTTTGTGATCAAAAAACATGTACCTGAATTATTTTCTATTTTGTTTTTATTTCAAGTCAACAAAACACTTGTTCACACCAGCAGACCGCAGGATACCTAGGATTCGAATAGAGACCAGACAATCTTCTACCCTGGAGAACCAGAGAATCATTGTGGTAATTGATGGATGGCCCAGAAACTCTCGGTATCCTAATGTAAGTCCAAAACGAGAGGCATCAGTTTAAATTTACTCGTTTGATTTGTTGCATTGAGAATAAAAAAATGGTTTGGTCAGTCAGGTGTGATACATGCAGAAAATCATCACCATGCTTAAGAGTATCCAAACCAGACTGAAGGTTCTACAAAGCCAATTCAACTCCAAGGAGACCCTGGTTGACTCTACTCCAAGTAGGATAGTCACCAGTCATATCTGACAAACGCAGATTTGACCAGTCAATAGGTGGATAGAATAAAGGATGACTTGGCCGTGCCATAATTGTACGGCAATAATCTAATTATGTTCAGACAATATTATAAACCTAAATGATACTCAAGTGATTTATAACCCCCCCTCCCCACATCCCATTCTTTTTAATAAAATATACTGTGAACTTCATGGGTATTTTTGTTCAGATCTGGCCTTGTTTTGTTTTCTGCTCGTAGACACTCATTACAGACAACCCAGTGTGCTTCCTTATTTGTGTAAATACCTTTTTGTAGAAGAATCAATAGCTGTGAAGCAATCATTGCAAAATAATTTTCAGTTGATGACTGAGGAATAAGACTACTGCAGTATATAGTAATCCTTTCTAAATCTTAAACCATTATTTTTGCATATCATGCCTGAATACCATTTCTCTTCAAATCTAAATGTTTTAAAATTTAATGTCTAAATTCCTGTATATTCTACAATACTCTCTTCCTTAATCCAAAAATAGTATTCTTTGAATTAATGCAGGGTCACTTTGTCAAAAGTCTGGGAAATGCTGGTGATAAAGAAACTGAGACCGAAGTTCTCCTTCTTGAACACGATGTTCCCCATCAACCTTTCTCACAGGCTGTACTTAGTTTTCTGCCCAAGGTGCCATGGATTATCACAAAGGAGGTAGAGTGAAATCTCAGTCAATGTGTATGGTATAGAGAGAATGTTAACGATCTGGAGAATGTCACAATGGCTGCTTCAAGCTCTGTGACTGAGTGATGGAGAGTAAATATATAGTTGGTTGAGCTTCCTCATCTCACCAAGTAGATTTTCTGATGTGTATGTTTTCGGGGAGCGGGCAGGGGATAAGGGAGATTACACTTTACTGTGGCGTTGATAGCTGAACTGATCAATCTAGTTTTCAGATGGTTCTAGAAAACAACAGTTTTATATTATTCTTGCATAAAAGAGCAAGGATTCATTAAGTTATTAATTTAACTTAAGGTTCATTAAGTTGGAATCAGTTTAACCTTCATTGTATTGAAATTAAAAGGGGGTTATTCTCCGTTATATCTAAGGAAATATGTTCTTTACTTCAAAATGTGGTGTCGGTTATTTTGCTTAGAGAAATGGATGTGCAGTGTACTTTTGTATTTATAATGCCTTGAGTAAGTTAGATAAACCATTGGCTTTCATATTGCGCAATAGCTAAATTGCCCATTTCTTGAACATGATGAATTATTGCAGGATTTGAAAGCAAGGAAGGACTTGAGGCATCTCGACATCTGCAGTGTGGACCCTCCTGGATGTACTGATATTGACGATGCTCTACATTGTAAGGAGTTAGAAAATGGAAATCTGGAGGTAAATTGTGATATAAAGTATACAGTTAAACCGTGTTACAGACTTGAATCTGAATCACTCTGGGTCTCTAGCTTGTTAAATTTAGCTTATTTTGCGCACATTTTGGAATAGTTCATTTCAATTAATTTATATCTTTAAAAAAAGCACTACTGCAAGTCATGATGTTCTTTATTGAATTGCGTCTAGTTTGAATTCGCACTTCCATCAAGATAAAAATGACAATGAATTATACCAAAAAATACTATTACAAACTTAATATGTTCATGGAATGCTGAGGTATTTTATATATACATCAATAAGACTGAATGACTAGTAAAACTTTTTTTTATCAGAATGCACGTTTTCTGAGAGATTTCTTAGTTTTGGTTCTGTGATTTATATGAACCAGAAACCAAGAATGCAGATCTGTTGCTAAACAATAATTCTACTATCTGACTTTTCAAAACCAGGTTGGGGTACACATAGCGGATGTGAGCCATTTTATCCGGCCAGGAAATGCCCTGGACCAGGAAGCAACAAATCGAGGGACCACTGTATATCTTTGTGAGAAGGTAAGGGCTGTAGAAAATAGGTTTAAAAATAATTTAGAAAGGTATTTAGAATTTTTTAGAATTTGGATTTAATATTTTTTGTCAAAACCAAATTATCTTAAACTGACAATTTTTGAACATTGTAAAGTCTTGTTCAGAATAGTTATGAAAGATAAAATATCTTTACTTGGTGTGTAAAATCATAAATGATCAGTACACAGGTTACTTTGAGAATATCCAGTACAATCCTACAGAAAAGTGCTGCATCAATAATAATTACATTTCTTTTTCTTTTGTAATAGAGAATTGACATGGTTCCAGAATTGCTGAGTTCAAATCTTTGCTCCTTAAAATCCAATGTAGAAAGGTAATTTTTCTAAATGTATGTGTTAAAATTCAACTACAACAAATTGCAAATATATAGCTCCTTTAATGTTGGGAAGGTGGCCCAGGGTGCTGGACAGTCGAGGGTTTTGCACCCAAGAGTTGGATTTGGTAGGGGTTGAGGGCGAAAGGAGGTGGGAAGATGACCGAAAGCACCATCAAAACCTTAAAGGAGGTGACAGAAGAGATAAGGTGAAGGGACTACGGGATGGAGTTCCAGAGAGTGGGGGCAGAAACATTGAAAGTCCAACTGCCATTAGTGGGGTTGTAGGGGACGTGAAGCAGGCTAGTGCTTGGCAAGCGGAGGGAGCGGATAGAATTGGTAGAGTTTTTAGAAAGGTACACAGGTAGGGTGGAGCAAGACACTGAAATGATTTGAAAGCGAGAATGAGTCGAACAAGACACCAAGATTCTGGACTGGCTCAATGAGGTGGAGAGTGCATCCATCAAAATGATGCTGTCAGCGCTTGAAGTGAGAATGCACCAATGTGAGCCGAGCAAGAGAGCCTCTGTCTTGTCGACATTTAACTGGAGAAGGTTAGCTCTCATGTCCAACAGGCAATCACTCAAGACAGCAGTGATTCTGGAATCAAAGGTGGAGGCAGTCTGCCTCTAATAAGCCCCTGCACAACCTCATGGCACAGCCAAGATCAGGGATTCACCAAACGGGCAAGTCCAGGATCTTCCTTCTACCCCCACACCCCTTACCCTCCACTCTTGATTCCAACCCCCAGCTCGGGAACAAATCCCTAACTGTCCAGCGCCCTGGGACGTCCTCCCGACGTGTTGGCTATCATCAGCTACATATGGAAGTTAGTCTCAAGCCTGATACTGCCAAATGGGAGGATGTAGATATTAAAGGGGAGAGGACCAAGGATAGAGTTCTGAGGAATGTTGCATGTGATGGCGCAGGAGCGGGAGGAAAAGCTGTTGGCAAATATAATGACAGAAATCTGAATTGTGTTAGCTGAGTTACGAACAGTCGACAAAGGAAGCTCCAATTTATTTTTTTATAAATAAGTTTGTTTCTAATTTGAAGATTTCTACAGAACTACTTAAATACCTTATTTATGGAGTCTCCCAATGTTAAGTCATGTGAAACTGAGCCATGCAATCCAGAATGTCCAAGCTTTCATCTTCAGTCTGTGCTGAACTTGGTGATCTTAGCTGAGGCAACAAATGGCCTCGGTGACGATGCTGTGGACCCAGTATACCTGGTTTTATTGATGGGAAAACTCACTTGGGAGAATGTCTGGTGAAGCAAGATTATAGTCAACAACAACAATTTAAATTTATATACAGCATCTTTCATGTAGGGAGGATGTCTCAAAAATGTGTTTCAAAATGTTTTTTATTTTTTTAGAAAGGAGGGAGAAACTTATTATAAATGCTTAATTTGGTGTTTTGTATTTTTTCTGTAGGTTTGCATTTTCTTGCATTTGGGAAATGTCACGGAATGCTGAAATCATAAGCACGGTGTTTACAAAAAGTGTAATTAATTCTAAGGTAAATCAATGTGCTTATCTGCAGTGTCTGTACCCCATTCCCAATCTGGAGGTTTTATGTTTGTATGTTAGAGGTGAGAGTGAGAGGGTGAGTTTTCTCCATATATACATAGATGGAAAGTAATGAGTGAGAATATTGCTTTACAGCTGGAAGCTTTATCTGAATCTATTGAAATTGATTTAGAAAATATAATGGAAGAAAGACCATGTAGCAATTAACTATCACTTGCCCTTTCACCCAAGAATATACTTCTTATTTGTACCTTTAAAACTTGACCTACTTATCGTATTAACTGGCTACATAAAACAAACACTGAGGCATATGTTGCATTTTCAGAAAGGCTTTCATTGGCTTCTAAACCTGGAGTGTGAGATGCCTCACTGATAATCTATACTGGATGGACATGCAGTTTTATGTTTATGAGTTTGATTTTTAATGCATTGAAAGACTTGTTTTATGAGGGATAACATCTTGAAATTCACTAAAGTACGGCAAACCATTTCAATCTATCCAAGGCATCCAGCAATCTTCACTTTGAATGATATTCCTCCAAATTACCTATTTAAATAAATCCTGATTGGCATATTGAGATCTAGTCAAAGGAGGCAAAATCTTTTGTTGGCCTTTATGAAAAACCCTTTTCGATTGAATAGAAAAATAGCAAAAAAAAAGAAATTTATGTTTGAATAATTTAAGGAAGTTTTGAACATTTGGGCATTCAAAACATCTCAGGATTCCTTAATATTTTTCTGTATTGCAACGTACATCATCTTTTTATGTTATATTGCATTTAATTCTTCGTTATGTTTATTGAACAGAAACTGACAAATAGATATAGCATGATAATGCTCAGGAGGGACTTGGGAGAGAGACCCTATCAGCCCCACCCTCACTGGCCCCCCGTCCGCCAGATATTAGAGTTCAAAATCTTCGTCCTCACCTTCGAAGCCCGCCACGGCCTTGCTCCTTACTACCTCTGTCACCTGTCAAAGCCATATTAACCCGTCCACTCCCTCCATTCAGCATGCTCCGGTCTGCTCCCCGTCCCCTGCCCAGCCCACCCCACCATCGGCTCTCAGGCCTTCAGCCTCTGCCGCCACCCTTTGGAACTCCATCCCACAGTCCCTTCGCCTTGCTCCCTGCCTTGCCTCCCTTCAAGACACATTTCAAGATCCTCGTTTTCGACTGCACCATCGGCCACCCTCCTACACCTACCCTCCTAGCCCTCCACCCCTCCTGATCCCACCCCCTTGCTCGGGTCCAAATCACCGTCCAGTGCCTTGGGATGTTCTCCTGACGTTAAAAGGCTATACAAATGTAATTTGTTATTGTTGCTTTATATATTTTATTCTATCATTTATTGTTTCAGTAACAAAGGTAGTATCAATGTATACTTGGCTGATTCTAGTAACTTAAATAACAGCATTGCTTTTAACTGTTTCATTGGCATTTATTTGCTCTTATGTATACCTAGTGCCATTTCAATACCATGGGAGAAAGTTGTGTACAGATATATTTTAAACTACTGTATGTTTTATATTTGTTATGTAATAGGCATCGCTCACGTACGCTGAAGCACAGATGAGAATTGACGATGAAAGTATGAATGATAACATTACGATGGGCCTTCGTCGTCTGAATACACTTGCAAAGGAACTTAAAAAGAAGAGGGTTAAAATGGGGTGAGAATCTTGTTGTTAAAAGTTTTTCCTTAAAATGGGGCATTTAAGCTAGTTTGTTTCTGTTCATATGACAATAAGTGGCGTTTTATATGTGACAAGGCCACCCTTTTCACGGGTGGCATAGACTATTTGATTTGGCTTGCACCAAAATAATCCTTCTGTTCATTGAAAATTATTGGTACAGTTCCTTAACAAGGCAATTCCAAGATATAATTCCGTGTAAAATGCATGATATAAGTGCAATGTTTTGTAGTAAAGTTTATCCCCTGGATTATTGCACCTTGGGATCCCAACGTCTTGAATTCTGCTAGCCCATGCCGGAGTTCTGAAGACATAGGGAAGTGGAGTGGAACATCTTAGGGAGGCAAAACATGCCCTGAAACTGGAAAACTTCTATTTTTCTGGGTTTCTCAGTTACCAGATCTTCAACGCAACAGTGAAGTTTTATACGTAAAGCAGACCATATGGCATGATACAATAATCTTTGCATTTGATAGAGCACTGTATCACATCATTGAGATGTCTCAAAGCGCTTCACAGAATACACTGTAAAATGTTTGTGTTTCGTGGGAGAACACGGCAACCAATTACGCACAACTCCATGTCCCCGACCGGCCCGCCCTACCATCGGCCGTCGGGCCTTCAGCTTCAATGCCCCCACCCTTTGGAACTCCATCCATTACCTCGCTCCCTCCCTTGCCCCATCAAGGCACGTCTCAAGACCCTCCTCTTCAACCGCGCCTTCGGCCACCCTCCTACGCTTCCTGCCCTCCACCTCCCCGATCCCAACTCCCCCATTCGGGTCCACATCCCTGACTGTCCAGCGCCTTGGGATGTCCTCCCAACGTGAAAGGTGCTATACAAATGTAATTTTGTATTGTAACAACATTTAGATAGCGCCCTTCACATGGGCAGTGTCTCGGAGCACTGAAATTATACTGTCCAGATGATTAAACTTGTTTGATCACTCAGATAGTTCAAAAGATTGTCACATCCTTGTTTTTGATTGAAGGGGATACAAGTTTTAAGGATCTGATTTTAGCACAACTTGAGCAATATTTTCCTTTGGTTGATGAGACTGATTCAGTTAAATTCAAATTCCCTCATATCTTTGGCACGACTCAGGTGTTTAGCTTTCTTGTAATCAATATGAAATATTTCCAGCTATTCTGTTTGTTTTCAGATCAATTTTAAAATTCAACCTACGCATACATGATCTGCTATTTAATGACAGAGACACTGAGTAAATTAATTTAAATTCATTTTAAACTTTCAGTTTGTTTCATGGTACAATTGTATTTCACACATATGCTTTTTAATTTTGTGGGATTTATTTTACAACAAACTATACTTGTGTGGATTTCAAATTTGTTTTAAATCTTTGATATAAATTGTATAAAATTGATCAGTCGAACTCATTTTATTGACATATTTTAGTAGCAAAGATACTGAGATGCATTAGGTATCTATCTCACTTCCTAAAATCTGTTGTACGAAAATGGTTTAATTGAAATTTGTCTTTGTTTTCAGTGCTCTAACACTCTCCTCCCCTGAAGTTCGCTTTCACATAGACAGCGAGACCCATGATCCCATTGACCTGCAGACCAAAGAGCTAAGGTACATGTTATTTATAATTTGCGTACCTATAAATATGAATATATTCAATGTTTAGATCTTGTATTCCATACACTGTTGTGAGCTGAGTCGTATCTGCCCCTAAAAGTGCAGAAAAAACAGTTAATCATAGATTCTCTGCATATTAGGAGATTGAATGTGATAAACGTTTTATCTGGTTAGTTTGAGGATAACATCAGCTGATTTGCACCATCATGATTGAATAATACAGTATTTTCAATAGCTTTAGTATCTTTTTCAAAGTAAGATGGCGTTGTGAAATTTGTNAAAAAAAATTAGCTCCATTTACATTGGATATTGTATCTTTTTTCAAGCAAAGTGGAGCAGGAACAATTCAAGAATGCCTACCCTGAAAAATATCCTACCTATTATTTATATAATCCAGGATTGTTCAATTTTAGCCATGGGAATAAATGTTGATCCTATTTTGAAAACTACATTTTTCATTTTAAATATTGGCACATGTTTTTCAGCACTTAGTGTTGAAACTCTAAATATTACAGGTATCTTTATTATTGATAATAATAATAGTCCTTGCATTTGATATAGGGTCTTATCATGTCATTAAGATGTCTCAAAGAGCTTCCCAGAATACATTGTAAAGTGGATTGACTGTGTATTTTGTGGGGTGAAAAGGGGCAATTGCGTATAGCCATATAATATTAATTATTAATTACAATATTAATAATTTTATTGTACAGCAGTATTATATAATTAAATGCTTTGGGACATCATTCTGACATGAAAGGCACTATATAAATGTAAATTTATATTGTATGTCAATAATTTTGAAAACTCTTAAGTGAGTTTTATATCATAAAATAATTTTGAATGAAGTAGCAGAGTTTTTCTATTCGTATTCTCACTCGTACCAAATTCTGCTCCCCGATCACCCCAGTCATTGCCAGACTGCACAGGCTGCCTATCCAAGAGAGGATCGATTTCAACATCCTCACCCTTGAATTCAAGTCCCTGCACTCCTCTACAACCCCCTACCTCTCTGACCTCTCTCCTCAAAATAGTACCCGTTACCTTCGTTCCTCCAGGTCTGGCCTCCTCCTTGTCCCCCGAGTCCTCCACTCCACCCTCGGCGGCTGTGCCTTCAGCCACTATGCCCCAAAGCTCTGGAACTGCCTTCTTCACTCTCTTCGTCTCGCTCCCTCCCTTCCCATTTTCAGGTCTCTGCTGAAGACCTTTCTTTTCGACCGCGCCTTTGGTCACCTTCCCCTCCCCCGGGCTCGGTCCCAGGATCCATTACTGTAAAGCGCTCTGAGACGCCGTCCGCTGTGGACGGCTCTATATAAATCCAAGTTGTTTTGTTTTGATATTTGCAACATTTTGGATAATTGGCTGAAATAAAGGTTAGAGCTGTAAAATTATTTTAATTTTTATATATGTATAATATGTAAATATAGGGAAACCAATTCAATGGTTGAAGAGTTCATGTTGCTGGCCAACATTTCAGTTGCACAGAAAATTTATGATGAGTTTTCAGATTGTGCATTACTGAGAAAGCATCCAGAACCTCCTCCATCAAACTATGGCATCCTGGTAAAGGCAGCAGCAAGCCAGGTGAGTAAATAATACAATATATAATAATAATGCTTGCATTTAATATAGCACCTTATCATGTCTTCGAGGCGTCTCAAAGCACTTCACAGAATATACTGTAAAGTGAATTGACTGTATATTTTCTGGACGAAACACAAGAGCCAATTGCGCACAGCAGTGTCCCACAAACAGTCGTGGATTGAGTGACCAAATTATTATTATTAAATAGAGGATAGCCAACATGAAAATACTGAGTACATTGTACAGCCAAAGTGAACATTCTCAAGTGGGCTTTACACACATACATCTTTGTGTAAGTGATCATTGTATTCAATCTTGGTGAGTTTTCTATCTTGTTTAAAACAAATTGTAGCTATGTTGTGCAATCATTGTTAGATTTCTCTTACAATCCTTTCAACAAGTTAATGTACTATCTACCAACTCAGCGTAAAGTTTGTCCACCATTGTCCACCATTAGCAAGCAGGCTTCAGCCATTCTGCCCCACTTTCTGGAACTCCATCCCAACGTCTCTTTGACTCGCTCCTTTCCTCACCTCATTCAAGGTCATTCTCGAGACCTACCTCTTTGTACTTTTGGTCATCTTTGCCCTTCCCACCCACCTTAGCTCCCACCCTCACCTCGCTTACCCAGTATTGTTCAGGGCTTGAGAAATCCTCCCAACGTGAAATATAAATGTAAATTTGTTTTGTATTTAAAAGTAATAATAATAATAATAATCCTTGCATTTGATATAGCGCTTTTCACGTCGGGAGGACGTCCCAAAGCGCTTCACAGAACACACTGTAAAGTGAATTGACTGCATATATGTGGGCGAATGCGGCAGCCAATTGTGCACAGCAATGTCCCACAAACAGTCATAGATTGAAAATGACCCAATTTATTATTGTTTTTGGTTTTGGAGGGATTATTATTAGGCTCTGTGTGGAGTAAGGAAACTTGCCCAAGGTTTCGCCCTGACCTGCCTGGAATTGAACTCGGGTCTCTCGCTTGCAAAGCGAGTGCTCTAACCACTGAGCTACAGGACTCCACATAGAGCAAAATTATAGCAACACTGACTCTTAGCACCATTATATTTGCATACTTAATGAATGATATATAAATTTATCTCATAGGATTTTATAGGAAATACAGATATGATGTGTGTGATGTGCAATTCATTGTACAATATTTCACAGATCAATCAATAGCATACATCGAGATGTTATTGAGGCAGATGCAGTTGTTAAATGTGATGTGCACAAACCTGGAAAATGTATTGTACAAAGTGATTACAATCAAGATGCTTTATGAAATCCTACAAAAATGTGTGTGTATCTTAGGAATTCATTATTTGAGGCATTCCTGGATATACTGCCTTATCACATCATCTGAGATGTCTCACAGTGTTTCACAGAATATACTGCAAAGTGAATTGACTATATTGTGTGGGCGAAATGCAGCAGCCAATTGTACACAGCAAATATAATAATAATAATAATAATCCTTGCATTTGATATAGCACTTTTCACATCTTCTAGAGTCTCAAGGCGCTTCGCAGAATATGCTGTAAAGTGAATTGACTGTATATAATAATAATAATAATCCTTGCATTTGATATAGCCCTTTTCACGTTGGGAGGACGTCCTAAAGTGCTTCACAGAACACACCGTAAAGTGAATTGACTGTATATTTGTGGGCGAACGCGGCAGCCAATTGCGCACAGCAATGCCCCACAAACAGTCGTAGATTGAAAACGACCAATTTATTATTATTTTTGGTTTTGGAGGGATTATTATTAGGCTCTGTGTGGAGTAAGGAAACTTGCCCAAGGTTTCGCCCTCTGCCTGGAATTGAACTCAGGTCTCTCACTTGCAAAGCGAGTGCTCTAACCACTGAGCTACAGATCTCCACATATATTATATTTGTGTGTGAAATGCGGGAACCAATTGCAAACAGCAGTGTCCCACATCGTGGATTGAAAATGACCAATTTATTTTTGTTTTTTGGAGGAATTATTATCAAGCGTGTGGAGTAAGGAAACTTGCCAAAGGTTTCAGCCTGCCTGGAATTAAACCCAGGTGTCGCACTTGCAAGGCAAGTGCTCTAACCACTGAGCCACAGGACTCCAAGTAGAGGTAGAGAGTTAGAGTGATAAGTAGAGTTAGAGAGTGTTTATGCTCCATACAAGCCCGAACTACCACCCTCGCTCGCATACACAGCAAGTTTTCTGTTAAATACTGTACATTGAAGCGATTTACTTCACCCATGAATGCGACAGACACTTTTCACTTTTACTAAATAATATAATAATAATCCCTGCATTTGATATAGCGCCTTATCACATCTTCGAGATATGATGTATGTGATACATATATATATAAAATATATATAATATATAAGTGTGATGTGCAATTCATTGTACAATATTTCACAGATCAATCAATAGGAGTGTACATCAAGATGTTACAAAATATATATATATATTCTAAAACCCATTAACTGAAAGAGAACTACATTTGCATGTGTAAAGACCAACTAAATACTATATAGTTGATTATGTCCTGGCTGTCCTTTCAGGGTTTGGAGATTCACACAGATTCAGCAAAGGCTCTAGCAGACTCTTTGGATAAAGCTGAAGTGCCTGGCTCTCCATATTTAAACACATTGCTACGAATCCTAGCAACTCGTTGTATGATGCAGGCTGTCTATTTTTGCTCTGGAATGGATACAGACTTTCATCACTTTGGTTTGGCTTCTCATATCTACACTCACTTCACATCGCCAATCAGAAGGTATGAATGTTGTGCCAAAAGCCCTCAATCATCAACAAGAAAGGCCAAGTAGCGCTAGATGTGTGTAAAAAAATAAATAAATTATATAGTGAATAGGATATGTGTGCCATTTGCTTGGGAAGATACATATTTGGGAAGTAAAGGAATTAAGGGGTTTGGAGAGAAAAGGTTTTAAGTGTGTTGGAGAAAAGACAAGAGAAATGGTACTGAAATGAATTAATAAACTGGCAGAACAAATTGCTCTGAATGATTTAAACTCCCACCAATCCCAATAATATTTTGTGAAGTGGTTTAATTAAGTATTTTGAAAAGACTTGGTCAATACTGTTCTGGATGCTGCTTGTTTGCTTAATCACAGTTTATCTTTCTACCTTCTTTGCAGATATTCTGATATAATTGTACACCGACTCTTGGCTGTATCGATCAATGCTGACTGCACCTACCCAGATCTTATGGACAAGCACAAACTACAGGCTTTATGTAATAACCTCAATTATCGTCATAAAATGGCCCAATATTCCCAACGGGCCTCAGTGGCTTTCCATACTCAGGTAAAACAACATACGATTGCAAGATATCCAAAGTACTACCGTCTGCTATTAGAGCTCACCGTGAATGAAAATCACTTTCCTTCCAAATTCTGTGTTTACTCAAATAATTACAACATTTGCCATGCAGAACTCTAAACTATCCATTTGGGGGATTAGATTTCCTTACTGCCAGATTAAATGGAGGACTCAGGTTCAGTATGAAAACTGATAATTTTCTGGTTAAATGTGTCTTGTAAATATTCTGTTCATTTAGTGCATTCATTGGGCAGCAAAACAATGTGAGATGTGTTTCATGCCATTTACAAAAATAGCTATACAGAATCAGGATATGACTGACTGGATGAATGTGTATTACTGTACACATGACAATACAGACTAGATTGATCAATGGATTACTGATTATTCTGCACAAGGTTAATTGGTTTTGCTGCTGCCAATATAGCAAGGTGGGAAGATATTTTTGCTTTTACATCAGGGATTGTTTGATAAAATTGCTGTATTTTATGTTGTAAAACATTCTCTAAAATAATCCTGATTTGTTGATGAAAATGAAATTCATTCTTTTTAACTGTTACTCTGTCATAATCAAACATAAGTGATTATTGGTATAGTGTTGAAGGTTGATAACGTCCTTATCCCTGTGAATCACTCTGAGACATTACTCTACATGTGGGATATGTTATAAAAATGAAAGTTGCTGTTTCTGAAGGATCTCATGCTGATTATTTTATTCACTGTTCACTATAAGAATCTAAAATCTTTGTGTCCAATGTTACAGTTGTTCTTTAAAAATCAAGGAATTGTTGATGAAGCTGGTTACATTTTATTTGTGAAAAAGAATGCCATTGTGGTACTAATTCCCAAGTTTGGCTTGGAGGGCACAGTTTTCTTTGAAGAAAAAAATAAACCAACCCCAGATCTGCATTACAATGAAGAGGTACATGGTTTTATTTATGGTCCTCTAATAGTTACTAGATTTTATTTAACATCGAAAACACAAGTTCATTTATGTTGCTTAGTGTTTCTGATTTCTAAAAGAATTGAGTCCAGTTGTAGGCTTTTGCTTCCAATTGTCTAGAATTGTAAGACATTACCAGAGTGCAGATTTGCATGGATACCTATATAATTGGAGACAAAAGCTGTAATTTGGACCCAAAATAAACTAATTCAAAATAAGTTAGTTTATTTAATCTTCCCTAGGATGGTTTAAATAAACTGAAGTGATCCCTTATATATCCAGCAGCAGTTTGAACTTCTGTTTTAGTAAGCGAGTTGAGGTGCTTGTTTGAAATGTGCACGTATTGAAAGGGACAGTCTCCATGTTTTATTTTTACTCTGCTTTTTCAGATCCCATCCTTAACTGTGGAAGGAACAACATTTAAAATGTTTGATAAAGTAATTGTGACGATCACATTAGATTCATCAAATATTCAACACCAGAGGATTAGAATGGCACTGGTGGAACCAAAGGTGAGAGTTCAGTTTTTTAAGTGAAATGTTATTTAATAATGATTAATAGTATTGAGTGTTGTAAGATGTCGTCCTGTGAATCATTCTGAGACATTACTGTATAATGCAATACTGTACAATCTGCCAGTTATAAGTATCAGTTGCAAACAGGGTTTATTTTTGCAGTGTTATTTATAATATTTCAAATAAGCTTTTTAATTAGGAAAGCTACTGTCTATTCCAGTATGTTCAATTTGCCTGTATTTTTCTGGCTGGACCTCTCCCTTGATCTTTGTTCTGATTAACATTCTGTCACTTTGATACTCTAGTTCACCCTCTCATGGCTAATCAGAATATTGCTCTACTTAAAGTGAAAGAAGATCCTTCTAAAATTGACATTAAGCACAAATTGCATCTTGATGGTGGGAAACATGAGTATAGCTTTGCTGGCCTTAAATAAACTTGATTTTTTTCAACTTGTCTTCTTGCAAACTGGAAGGGAGGTTGTCAAACTAATGAATTTGCTGGAGACAAAACTCCAGTTTACTGCACTATGCCAGCATCGATGGCAAGCTTGGTCCTCTTATTGAATGGCTCCACTCTAGATGCAGACTTCCAGCAATGTGAATGATGTTTTTCAAAAATTGAGCCCCTGTTTGTCCCCACACAATAATTGCAAGTAATTTGATGTTTCAATTATATTGAACCCCTCTAAATTGAGATATGTTTTGCCATGAATGCAACCGTCTTATTGGAATTGAGATTTAGTTCATTGTTTTTGGATTTAATTTTCCATTCAAATCTCCCATGTTTTCTTCTTATAACTAGTTAGTTTCCCATTTTTATTGTGCTCTGATAACGTTATGGTTTTGTGTTGGTATCCTGGTTGGACCTAGATTTTAGCCAGGTATTTGTATTGAATTTTGCAATCCTTTTGTAGTAGGATTTGCAATATTCTACCAATTCTGCTTTGACAGACTTAACAATATCATCTGGGTAGTGCAGAATCTCACTTCATGGCTGCTATCAGCCTGACTCAGTTGGTAGCAATCTAGCCTTTGAGTCAGTCCTTTGAGCTGTCGTCTTTCAGATGAGATGTTAAACTGAAGAGCAGTCTGTCTGTTGAGATAGTTTAACAAAAAGACAAGGGATTTTATCCTTGTCCTGGCCAGCTATCTCCCCAAAACATTCACTTCACTGGTTTGTGAAACATTTCTGTGCACAAATTGGCTGCTATACTTGACTTTAAAGACAGTCACTACACCCAACAACAATTTTGTGAAGCTCTTCAAAAGTTTGCTGTGCTAAGTCACTATATCAAATTCAAGGATTATTATTTATCTCTGAGTTTAAACTTATGTCTGTCCTAAGGTAGAAGAGGAGGTAAGACCTATTATATCATGTCAATGAACTGAAAGCTCTGAACTTTAGCCATACTGTAAATTCAAGTTGTTACGATATCACAACCCATTATAATGCAGCGTCTCATTTTATGGATCTCAAAACCATGATATAACTCGTCTAACTAATTAGATCCACATCCATTTAACCTGCCCCTTTTCTCTTCCCCCACTCTACAAATCTCTAACAAAAGATTACTACAAATTACTACAAATCTCTAACAAAAAATAATGAAATTTTATTTCATGTCACAGATTCCTGGAGTCAGTGTTCCAAGAAGTACGTCACAGAAAAGTGCAGCTAATAAGGAACCTGAGGTGAAGAAGTTAAGGACAACAAAGTGACCACACAGTGTGTGTTGTGTGACTGCATATATTTCATTCACATGTACATTGCAAAATGTACTCTGCTGATCTGCACAGAAAATCCTTTGTATACTCGTTTTTATTACAGATCTGGGCTTTGAATAAAAGTTTGTACTATACATGTCATTTTGAATTTTTTTAAACTTGCTATACCCATAATCAATTAAGTAAAATAAAGCATAAGAACTGTTCAAGTCATTCTAGAAATAGTATAGAGTAAATGTAACCACCACATATACACAATTTGAAACTACTGTTGAAAAGATACATGTATCTATCTCGCAGTCAGAAAATTCAGTAAAAAACATGTTTTTAAAAAATTTAATGATTTTAATAAACATTTTAGATATACAGTATATCGTTCCAACATTTGTGTTAAAAGTATAAATTATTGCAATCAGACCTGTGAGGTCTAAAATGTAAACATTTAGATTTTAGGAACTAATTGCAATTTTAAACTTGATTATATATTCTTTTGTGCCAATCCATGTAAAACTTTTGAAATGTCAAGATTGATTTTAATTTGTTGCAAACCCAAATGGCAACATAGTCCATTATTAAATAGCTAAACAGTCATTGATTTTAGTGGAAGGTTAATTTAAAAATGGAGTACTAAATTTAATGAATACATTTTTTAAACATATTACATTACATACGAGGTAATAGAAACATTGTTGACAGACTAATGTTCATTTAAGGGAACATTTATTTATGTAGAGATCAATTCTAAATGAAAAAAAATTATAAACTGAGTCACTTCATCACTGGCACGATTCTTAAGATAGCACAGTCACTGACCAATGAAATCAAGTGCTTTATAAATGATGTCAGTACACACAAATAAGTTTTCAGAGTGCTTGTGAGATTTTTTTTGGAGGGGGGAAATCAGCTCAACAGACATTTCAATGACTCCTTGAACATTTCATTTCACTAATAGCCTGAGGAATAAAACACGTAGAACAATGGAGTTTGTTGCCACTTTGACCTAATTACAAAGGAGAGACAGAGTTATAGTCGACTGATTCAGACTTTTCAGACATTTCAAGAGGTTGTCGTATAAAACAATGTTTTTCATCGTGTAGCTGAGGTGAATATCGTACTGCAAAGGAAAGGCAAGACAGTTAGAGAAAACATTTCCAGTACTTTTAACTGGTTTGTCATAGTGGAGTTTTAAAATAGGTGATGTTTCAGTTTCAAAGCAAGCAATGTCTCCAGGCTTGGGCAGCTTACCTGAAAATTTCACATCCAACTTGTTAACATACGTGAGAAATACCAGGAGAAATAGTATCTCGATCAACAGACAAATTCTCATAAAGGCCATCACGTGCAGAACTTGGGGGTGCAAGTTAAAGTGGTGGCAGTAATCAAGTTCTACTAGGCAGAAATTATGGGTGTGACATTTATACTAGTTCAATATATGTACCAGGTCATGCGAGACTCAACGCTTCCCCGTTGACCCAAGAGACAAGACATTGTATCTACCGTTATAACATTTGTATCTCCCTCCCATTCCTTTCCCAAACCAGCTTCCACGAGCAATACATACCATTCTTTTTAAATATTTTGTTCAAGGTTTGATCACAAGGATTTTTCCAAGTATTGAGGTAGCACATTTTTTGGTCAAGGGAGACATTGTCTGCTGCTGTGAGGTAGCTTGTTGAATTCAGCCCCAAGATCCTGTTCTCTGAGTATTCAGAAATAGAGTTATCCTGCAAAAAGAGGGGGAAAATCCACATGAAATTTGTTTTCCTGGAACGAGTCGTCGCGTCCCAGCTCCGCTCCTTTCTCTCTCACCATTCCCTCTTTGAACCCCTCCAATCCGGCTTCCGCGCTGCCCACAGCACGGCACCAGCCCTGGTCAAAGTACTAATGACATTCTGAACATCTGTGATCAGGGTTCCCTCTGCCTCCTTGTCCTCGACCTCTCTGCCGCCTTCGGCACTGTCGACCATTCCATCCTCTCCGCTTTACTCAATCTTCACGGGCCTGCCCTTGCCTGGTTCGATTCCTACCTCTCACCATCTACACTTCGTTGACTCTAACGGTTTCTCCTCCAGCCCCCGCACTGTCACATCTGGCGTCCCCCAGGGCTCTGTCCTTGGCCTTCTCTTTAAGAGACATCTTGGTGACATCATCTGCAGACATGGGGTCAACTTCTACATGTATATGGTAGACACCCAACTCTATCTTTCTGCCTCCACCCTCAACTCCAGGATCACTAACAGACTGCCTGTCGGACATCAAGTCCTGGATGAGGGCAAATTTCCTACAGTTGAAATGTGAACAAGACTGAGGCCCTCAGCACCTCAGGCTCTGACAACATCAACCTCCATGGTTGCACACTGCAACTCCCCAAGCCAGTCAGGACCTCGGTGTCTTGTTCGACCCTCAACTGTCTTTTCTCCCCCACATTCAAGCCATGACCCGCTCTGCCTTCCCTCACTTCCGTAACATCGCCCGACTCTGCCATTACCTCAGGCCGCTGAAACTCGTGTTCATGCCTTCATCACCTCCAGGCTCGACTACGCAAACGCCCTGCTTGTCGGCCTTCCCAACTCCTCCCTCCACAGGCTGCAGATAATCCAGAACTCCGTGACCCCATTTCCACCACTCTCGCCCGACTCCACTGGCTCCCTATCCTTCAGAGGATCCAGTTCAAGATCCTGGTCCTCACATACAGAGCCCTCCATGGCCTCACCCCACCCTATCTCTGACCTCTTAACCCCCTACCAACCCGCCCATGCCCTCCGCTCAGCTGGCTCTGGCCTGCTCCACGTCCCCCGACCCACCCGCCCCACCATTGGCGGGACAGCCTTCAGCCACTCTGCCCCCAATCTTTGCAATTCCATCCCCCAATCACTCTGCCTCGCCCCCTCCTTAAGTCTCCTTGAAGTCCCGCCTCAAGACCCTCCTCTTCGACCACGCCATCGGCCACCCCCCTTCGCCTCCCCTCCCTTACCCCCCCAACCCCAGCTCGGGTGTGAAATGGTGTTCTCTGTCCAGCGCCTTGGGACATCCGACGTGAAAGGCGCTATACAAATGTAATCTTCTTGTTGTTTCCTGTTGAGACGCAAAAAAGGGCTATGCCCACTAGTAGCTTGGTTTACATGCCCCCAAAATGAACAAATGCTGATTGGGAAAAAAAGTACTTGACAGCTGTAACGTTAAAACATACAGATTTGCGCACAAGTCGATCGAGCAGCCACCAGACTATTAATAGTTCAGGTGAGCTATGTATTTAAAAGAAATTTGGCTAAAACTAATGCTTTCAAGTCGATTTATCTCCTTTGCCATCCATCCGTGGGACTGCCAAGATTCTCACTGTCTCACTGTTAGTAATTTGTTCCTTTAGCTTCAAATCTAAAAAGGAAAGGGAAGCTCAAGTGCAATGATGTTAGTTAAGACTAAAATTAACATTGGCTTCTGGTCCAGCACCAACTAATCGTCACATTAGTTAGCCTTACAGTACCAATTTTAAATTGTGCTTTACTGTATTGTATCTAAGAACTTTGATGTGCATCAGCAGTAAAGGGATTTCGCAATGAAACACCAAAGTACATTAACTGGCATAAACAACTTAAACAATAACGATATGCATTTCAGACCACTATATCACGATACAAGTCGAAAATGCAGTATGCAATGTAATTGTTAAACGAAAGACATTATGCTGCTAGCAACTTCCAGTCGATGACACCCTCCCCGCATTGCTCCAGTATCTGTGCCCAAAGCTGCATGCAATGACCATTAAGCTGCTCAATAATGCTTTTACGTTTGCCCACTCGGATCTCAGCACTTCATTGCCAATTTGGGTATACTACTTTAACTAAACTTTTAATTTTCATCTAATCACAGAAATAGGAAAAATAAAAAAGCCCACCATGGAGTTTTGTTGATATTTGGATGGAGCCACAGTTCCAACTATTGTCTGTAGTTCAAGATTTTCTTTATCTGTTCCAATAGTGTCCATAATGCTACTTCCACTCGTGGTTTGTGTATTATAACCACTATCAGTCTACAAATAAAACATGTGTAGAAATACAATGAGAGAACATTTTGCTACGTACTCAATCCACAACTGTTTGTAGGACACTGCTGTGCGCAATTGGCTGCCGAGTTTCTCCCACAGAATAAAGGCATTTCACTTTACAGTATATTCTGGAAGCTCTTTGAGACATCTCGAAGATGCAATAAGGCGCTTTATTAAATGCAAGGATTATTACTTCAACAAAGAAACTCACACAGTTGGAATAAATATTTGACCACCTAGTCTCTGCTTGGATCTTTTTTAAATACTAACTTTTTTTTAAAACGATTTTACAGTAAGGCAGGACAATTTAGTTTTACAGCTATAGCTGGGGTCCATGAAATGCCAACCCGCCTTATAACCAAGTGTGCTCAAGAGCAGCCACTGGTTATCACGTCAGGACACGACATTACCCCCATCACAACCTGTGACATGATTGTGCATGAAAGATCAACAAGGTGTTCTTGCACTGTACGACTGCTGATGTGTGTTTTCACAACAATGTGTTAAATCAAGCAACAAAATAGCATGGTCCCCAATCCAATCGTAAATAAGGAAAATCGTTTTGTATAGTGACATCTTAAGTTGTGAGCCAACATTCAAGACATTACAGCAGTTGCTCCATTAAGAAAATATGCTTACCTGCATACTAGTGCTCTCACAGGGAATAACGCTGCTTTCTGCTAAAGGCGGCAGATACACGTGAGAGTTCTCCACATTAAATGTAATTGCAGTCAGTGAGCTCATCATTGGAATACTGACGTTGCTTTGTGATTGTTTCACCCACATGCTATCGTCCCCCGCAGTTACTCCTACATCTGCCATATCAATAGTATGGTTCTCAATACCATCCTCAAGTCCTGTTATATTTTCACTGACTTCAGAGGGATTGGAAGCTGAAATACAATTGTTTTTACTTTCTCCTCCCAGACAGAAGGAGAGCATCTCAGCATCCGTTCCAGAGCATAAATTAGATTGTGGTGTGAGAAGCATTTTCTGCTCACTTTGATGTTCACGTGAAAAAGTTATGAGAGGAGAAGTTTGATGGTGGCAAAGGACACTCTGGTGTTTATTGTTCAGAGGAGAGCAAGTTTTAATAGGTGAACATCCTTCTATAAAAGAAGGTATTGTGCGATGATCAAAATTTCCATCTAATGTTGCTGCAGAAGCAGTGACAGGAGACATGAAATTGTATTTCTTTTGTTCTGCATGAAAAAAAAGCATGTCAACATAGCAGAAGTGGAAATAAAGTTCCAATTATTGTTTTAACAAAGATAGCTTTGTGTTCAAAATGTAAATCTGTACATAAAATAATATTCTACTGGTATACGTATATAAGCAAGCTTAAAACTGGTCCAAAAATGAATCAATCAAGTTGCAATAGATAATAATTATACTTGCATTTGCTTTCAGCTAAGGCAGAGTATTGAATATAGTGGAGAGGAGGAATAAAAGAAATTTCAAGGTCAGAGCCAAGGATTGACTGGGAAAAGGCAAATTATTTGCTGGCTAGCCACAGAATCCTTATTTGAATTCAACAAGCTAAAAGATAATAAAGTACCATAAAACTATATTTACAGGAAATTCAACTGATAGAAACAGCATGTCAGTAATTGAATGTTATAAATAATCTTAGAAATATCAGGTAGACACAAACACTAAAAGGACACCACCACCAATAACCATCAAGATAATTACACAGCACCATTCATGCGGGGCAGCGTCTTGGAACGCTTAACGGTAGCAGAGCTTGATGCCAAGCCAGGGAGAGGTGATCATAGGCACAGTCAAAGAGGAAGATCCTTAGGTATGATCTCAAGACAGATAAAGACAAGCCGATACCTGCTCAACAGTTGCTCGATTACAATATCAATATTAAAACCCAAACCTGAAAGTGGCATTTTTCCAAACTGAAGTCCAATCGGAGAGAAAGGTGGTGACAAATAATTAGGAGAAGATCTCTCTGGAAACATGGGACTTGCCAGGCTCCCAAGACTGTATGTTCGTCCTGCACATTTGATAGGGCTTGATGAAAATTGTCCCTAAAATTGAGAAGGGCTGACTTATTTACAGTCCTACAATGCATTAATGCACATGGCAGGTTGTGAATCATACAAACACTGACACATATCTAGCTCCAGTTCTAAAATTGAACATTCATGTTAAAAAGAATAAAAAACTTTGCACCCTTAAGCATGCCTGATTAGTTTGAAACAAAGCAGTAATCTCATTAAAGGGTTAAACTAATTAAAGTAGAGTCCTGTAGCTCAGTGGTTAGAGCACTCGCCTTGCAAGCGAGGCACCTGGGTTCAATTCCAGGCAGAGGGCGAAACCTTGGGCAAGTTTCCTTACTCCATACACTTTATAATAATCCCTCCAAAACAAAACAATAATAACTTGGTCATTTTCAATCCACGACTGTTTGTGGGACACTGCTGTTCGCAATTGGCTACCGTATTTCGCCCACAAATATACAGTCAATTCACTTTACAGTCTATTCTGTGAAGTGCTTTGAGACGTCGAGAAGACGTGAAAAGCGCTATATCAAATGCAAGGATTATTATTATTTATTATAAAAGGGCTAGGTGTCATTAAAACAAACCCTCAAGATTTTTGTTAATCCTGAAATGTATTTAACATTTTCTTTTTTAAGTACTACAAGCAACATCTTACCAAGCTGTGGCACAGAACAATGAAGCTTTCATAGCAAACCTAATGTAATTACCCAAATTTTATTTTACGGCTCCCAAGAACAGAATTAAAGATATTCAGCACATTACAAGTTTATACATCTTATGCACTATAAATTTAATGCAGTACTTACAGAACTAAGAGTCTCTGTGGGACTCCTGCAGGGAAGTGGAGAAAGGTCTATTGAACACTGCATTCCTTGGGATTTTATCAATTCAGCACCTGGTCTTTCCTCAGGTGAAGAAGGGGAAGAACTGTCAGAGCAACATTTTTCTCCATCTATAAATAGTTTTCTCCGAAGTGAAGATGCACTTAGGCTTTCATGGGACTGGTCAGCAGTATCATCCAATTTATAATATTCACCTGAACAAAAGAGGTAGACTGGATTACAACAGATACAGCTTTGACAAGGACAGAGTTTTGCTGCTTGTATTAAAGTCTCCAGATTGTTAGCTTACATTTCATAGGAATCATAGAATCCAAATTGATACAGTATGTATAGCAATCTCCTGCAACTAGTTAAAATGGTTTCTGACTCATTGGCTACACAAGATTGTTGCTAAACAAGCACACCCAGCAGTTCACAAGTAAATGATGACTATGAACAGGGAACGATATCTTTTACGTTTTTTACAACTTTAATGTGGATTTAATTGAAACATTAAAAGATAAATGGTGAATTGCAGAAATGATTGCAGGCTTGGGGGACAAATGGTGTAAACAGATTCTGATCTGTGGAGTCCTGTAACTCAGTGGAGTCCTATAGCTCAGTGGTTAGAGCACTCGCCTCGCAAGTGAGAGACCTGGGCTCTATTCCCGGCAGAGTGAATAATTCCCTCAAAAAAAATACAAAATTTGGTCCCTCAATTTGGTCACAACTGTTTGTGGGGCACTGCTGTGCACGCGATTCACCCTCAAGTATAGTCAATGCACTTTACAGTATATTCTGTGAAGAGCTTTCAGACGTCTAGAAGACATGAAAAGCGCAATATCAAATGCAAGGATTAATATTATTATTATCAACTATTTAAGTAAGGGGTGGATGAATACATAAGAACATAAGAATTAAGAGCAGAAGTAGGCCATTCGGCCCCTCTAGCCTGCCCCGTCATTCAATAAGATCATGGCTGATCTATTCTAACTCCACCTACCCGCCTTATCCCCATATCCCTTAATCCCCTTATCCACAAGAAATCTATCAATCTCAGTCTTGAATATGTCAAGGACTGAGCATCTACAGCTCTTTGAAGTAGAGAATTCCATAAATTCACTACCCTCTGAGTGAAGAAGTTTTTCCTCAACTCAGTGTGAAAGGGTTTACCCCTAATTTTAAGACTGTGACCCCTGGTTATAGTTTCTCCAACCAGGGGAAGAAGTCTCCCACTATCTATTCTGTCGTGCTCCTTAATAATCTTATAGGTTTCTATAAGATCACCTCTCATTCTTCTATATTCTAGAGAATATAGACCTAAATTGCTCAACCTATCCTCATAACTCATCCATGATACCAACCTAGTGAACCTACGTTGTACCCCCTCCAAGGCGAGTACATTTTTTCTTAAATAAGGAGACCAAAATTGCATACAATACTCTAGGTGCGGACTCACCAGGGCCCTATACAATTGCAGCAAGACTTCCCTACTCTTATATTCTAACCCTTTTGTAACAAATGCCAACATACTGTTAACCTTTCTAATTGCTTGCTGTGCCTGCAAACTAACTTTTTGTGACTGGTGTCCAAGGACACCCAAGTCCCTCTGAACACTAACACTATCTAGTCTCTCCCCTTCTAAAAAATAATCTGCTCTACTATTTTTGCCACCGAGGTGGATGACTTCACACTTCCCTATATTATACTTCATCTGCCACCTACTTGCCCACTCACGTAGGCTATCTATATCTTGTTGCATTTTTTTAATGTCATCCTCGGTGTTTACTCTCCCTTCTAGTTTAGTGTCATCCGCGAATTTGGATATATTAAGTTTGATGTCCTCATCTCCAACAACAAGATTCCATTTATAGAGCGCCTTTCACGTCGGTAGGACGTCCCAAAGGCGCTGTACAGTTGGGTCAGGACCCGAGCAGGGGGGAAATGGTGAGGGGAGGGAAGGGAGGGAGCGAGGAGGGGGTAGAGAGTCGAGAGGGGAGCTGAAGGCACGGTCAAAGAGAAAGGTCTTGAGACCGGCCTTGAAGGAGGAAAGGGAGGAGGCGGCGAAGGCACTGGGGATGGAGTTCCAGAGCCTCGGGGCTGAGAGGCTGAAGGCCCGGCCACCGATGGTAGGGCGGTTGGGGCGGGGGATGTGGAGCAGACCGGAGCCAGAGGAACGGAGGGTACGGGCAGGTAAGTAGGGGGATAGTAGGTCGGAGAGGTAGGAGGGAGCGAGGCCGTGAATGGCCTTGTAGGTGAGGATGAGGATCTTGAATTCGATCCTCTGGGGGATGGGGAGCCAGTGGAGGTGAGCGAGGGTGGGAGTGATGTGGTCACGAAGCCTGGTGCGGGACAGTACACGAGCTGCAGAGTTCTGAATGACCTGCAGCTTGTGGAGGGAGGTGCCGGGAAGGCCGGCGAGGAGAGAGTTCCCATAGTCCAGCCTTGAGGTGATAAAGGCGTGGACCAGAGTTTCAGCAGCGTGAGGGGAGAGGTAGTGCCGTAGTCTGGCGATATTCCGGAGGTGATGGAAGGTGGTGCCAGTTGTGTCGCGGATATGAGGGAGAAAGGACAGCTCAGGGTCGAACAGAACACTGAGGTTCCTGATGGCTTTGAGAGGTGGAGAGTGCAGCCTTGGATGCTGATGCTGTCAGTGCCTGAGGTGCGGAGGCGCTGACGTGAGCCAATCAGGAGGGCCTCAGTTTTACACACGTTGAGTTGAAGAAAGTTGTCTCTCGTCCAGGACTCGATGTCGGACAGGCAGGCTGTCAGGACATCGGTGGTCGTGGAGTTGAGGATAGAGGAGGAAAGGTAGAGTTGGGTGTCATCCGCATACATGTGGAAGTTAACTCCATGTCTGCGGATGATGTCACCAAGGGGGAGCATATAGAGGGTGGAGAGGAGGGGACCGAGGACAGAGCCCTGAGGGACACCGCACGAGACAGTGCGGGGGTTGGAGGAGAAACCATTCGTGGAAACAAAGTGAAGACGGTGGGAGAGGTATGACCTAAACCACTCAAGGACAGGGCCTTGAAAGTTGAGGTGGGAGGACAAGCGGTGGAGGAGGATAGCATGGTCGACCGTATCGAATGCTGCCGATAGGTCGAGGAGGACGAGGAGGCAGAGGGAGCCCTGGTCACAGATGGTCAGGATATCATTGGTGACCTTGACCAGGGCAGTTTCTGTGCTATGGGCAGCACGGAAACCCGACTGAAGGGGTTCGAATAATGAATGGGTGGAGAAGGGGTTCGAATAATGAATGGGTGGAGAGGAAAGAGCACAGCAAGGAGGCGACAACTCATTCCAGGATCTTGGACAGGAAGGGGAGGTTGGAGATGGGCCGGTAGCTTGATAGCTGCGACGCATCAAGGGAGAGTTTTTTCAAGATCGTCGATGTGAATTGTAAATAGTTGAGGCCCAAGCACTGATCCTTGTGGCACTCCATTAGTCATATCCCGCCAATCTGAGAAGGACCCGCCATTCCTCAATCCATGCTTATATATCCCCTTAATTCCATGGGCCCTAATCTTGTGGATCAACCTTTTATGCAGCACCTTATCGAATGCCTTTTGGAAATCTAAATACACTACATCTACTGATTCCCTCTATCTAATCTACTTGATATGACCTCAAAAAAATCTAAAAGATTTGTTAAGCATGACTTCCCTTTTGTAAAGGTTCCCTCAGGTTTGCTACTCTTTTTTAGCAGTTTTATAGGCCTTTTCTTTTAATTTTATATTTTCTCTAACTGCTCTAGTTAGCCACAGATGAACTGCTTTCCCTGTGGTACTCTTATTCCTCAAGGGAAGATGTGACCGCTGAAAATTATGCACTACATCTTTAAACGTTTGCCATTGTTGGTCTATTGTCATATCCATTAATCTAAATCCCCAGTCTATTTTAGCTAATTCTTCCCTCATACCTGCAAAGTTAGCTTTATTTAAATTTAAGACCCTTGCTTCGGATTTGATTACATCGCTCGCTAACTTGATACTAAATTCTATCATGTTATGATCTATGTATGTTACTGCTATACGCAATTGGCTGCCGCGTTTCACCCACAAATGTATGGTCAATTCACCTTACAGTCTACCCTGTGAAGTGCTTTGAGATGTCGAGAAGACGTGAAAAGCGCTATATCAAATGCAAGGATTATTATTATTATTATATTATGATCACTCTGTCCTAGAGGAGTCTTAATATTTATATTACCGACTAGCCCTGTTTCGTTACACAAAACAAGGTTTAGGATGGCCTGTCCCCTAGTTGGTTTCTCAGCATACTGCTCCAGAAAGCTATCCCTCATATATTCTATAAACTCTTCCTCTACCCTACTTTTGCCGATTTGGTTTTCCCAATCTATGTAAAGATTGAAATCACCCACTAATACTGTATTACCTTTGCTACATGCTCTTCTAATTTCTTGATTAATATCCTGCGCTGTGCTGTGATCACTGTTTGGGGGTCTATAAACTACTCCCACTAATGTTTTCTGCTCCTTGTTATTTCGTAATTCTACCCATTCTGTCTCTACATCCTGGTTATCTGATTTGAAATCCTTCCTCTCTACTCTTTTTATTCCATCCTTTATTAATAAGGCTACCCCCACCACCTCGTTTTCCACATTCTCCATCCTTCCTATAAGCTGAAAACCCCAGAATATTTAACTCCCACCCTAGATCTCCCTGTAACCATGTCTCAGTAATAATAATAATAATAATAATCCTTGCATTTGATATAGCGCTTTTCACGTCGGGAGGACGTCCCAAAGCGCTTCACAGAACACACTGTAAAGTGAATTGACTGTATATTTGTGGGCGAACGCGGCAGCCAATTGCGCACAGCAATGTCCCACAAACAGTCGTAGATTGAAAATGACCAATTTATTATTGTTTTGTTTTGGAGGGATTATTATTAGGCATGTGGAGTAAGGAAACTTGCCCAAGGTTTCGCCCTGCCTGGAATTGAACTCAGGTCTCTCGCTTGCAAAGCAAGTGCTCTAACCACTGAGCTACAGGACTAACACTAACTACTAACTAACAGTAAACTAACACTGACTACTAATTAATAACACTAAAAATAAAATAAATTTTAAAAAAAGATTAATTAAGAATTTAAGTTTTAAAAAATAATAATAATTAATTAAATAACACTTTAATTCACGGTGGGGGTGGGAGAGATGACAATGGCGTGGCAGGTGTTGTGTGAGGGCTGTAACGTGGGAGTTGCTGGAGGGCAGTCTGAGCCCCGGCAACCACATCTGCAGCAAATGTCTGCAACTGAGGCAGCTCCAGCTCTGAGCTGGAATCCGAGGTGCAGACATTGTGCAGCATCAGGGACAGTGAGTGCTTCCTGGCTAGTTTCATCCTGGAGCCAGACACACCCCTGAGGCTCAGGGAATGTATAGATTATTGTATCAGTCAAGGACAGGATAGGGTGTTTGGCAGGCAGGAGGTTAAGGGAACACCAGAGAGTGGTAGTGAAGACTCAGACTTTAACCTTGGCCAACAGGTATGAGATCCTTGCAACCTGTGTGGACAAGGAATCCTGTGAGGAGGAAGGAAAACGTGATTCCAATATTAGGGGAAACAAACAGAAAGTTGTAGTAATTGGGGACGAGACTAACACGCGGACAGATACACTTATCTGCAGCCGCAACCAGGAGACCCGAAGATCCCTACTCCCTGATGCCTGATGATGATTCTTTACTGAGCTTCTTACCCCTCTCTGACCTATTCTGTTTATCTCTCTCGCTATTCTGTTCTGCCATCTTTAGTTTTCTTAATATTGCTGGCTTGCGATTATTTCTAATTGTAACCTCCTTATTAGTTTAAAGCTTTATTTACCTTCCTATCTATGTATTCGGTTTGCTAGGACATTTGTCCCAGCCCGATTTAAGTGGAGCCCATCTTTTTTAAATAGACCCCTTTTCCCCCAATACTGGTACCAGTGGCCCATAAAATGAAACCCCTGCGTTCCACATCACTCCCTCAGCCATTCATTTAACTCTCTAATTTGCTTATTCCTGTACCAATTTGCACATGTCAAAGGCAGTAATCCTGATATCACTATCTTTGATGTTCTTTGTTTTAATTTAGTTCCCAGCTCCTTTGAACTCCCGCCTCAAGTCATCACAACTACCTATGTCATTGGTACCTATGTGAAGAACCACCAATGGATCCTCACCTTCATGTTTTAGATTCTCCTCCAGCCCCACCGAGACGTCCTTCATCCCGGCCCCAGGAAGGCAACAGAGCCTTCGGGTCTCCTGGTTGCGGCTGCAGATAAGTGTATCTGTCCGCCTGATAGTCTCGTCCCCAATTACTACAACTTTCTGTTTTTTCCCCTAATATTGGAATCACGTTTTCCTTCCTCCTCACAGGCTTTCTTGTCCACACAGGTTGCAAGGATCTCTTGGCCAAGGTTAAAGTCTGAGGCTTCACTACCACTCTCTGGTGTTCCCTTAACCTCCTGCCTGCCAAACACCCTATCCTGTCCTTGACTGATACAATAATCTATACATTCCCTGAGCCTCAGGGGTGTGTCTGGCTCCAGGATGAAACTAGCCAGGAAGCACTCACTGTCCCTGATGCTGCACAATGTCTGCACCTCGGATTCCAGCTCAGAGCTGGAGCTGCCTCAGTTGCAGACATTTGCTGCAGATGTGGTTGCCGGGGCTCAGACTGCCCTCCAGCAACTCCCACGTTACAGCCCTCACACAACACCTGCCACGCCATTGTCATCTCTCCCACCCCCACCGTGAATTAAAGTGTTATTTAATTAATTATTATTATTTTTTTAAAACTTACATTCTTAATTAATCTTTGTTTAAAATTTGTTTTATTTTTAGTGTTGTTAATTAGTAGTCAGTGTTAGTTTACTGTTAGTTAGTAGTTAGTGTTAGCCCTGTTAGTTTACTGTTAGTCAGTAGTTGGTGTTAGCTGTTAGTTTACTCTTTCAGAAAGTTTTGATTGTGACGTCGCTCTGACGTCACTTTTTAATTTTCCCGCTGGTCGCTTGGTTTTTTATCTCTCTCCTGCCTCTGCTCCTGACCTTCCGAAAAGCAGCCAACCAATCAACTAGAATTAAAAAAACACACAAACTACTTCTAATACCAAGCTTTCTAAAATATTATACAACAAACTCCAGTTCATCAGTTATCATCAATTCCAGTTTTTGTATCCTGGCATTTTGATTAATGCTTTATACATTACCTATGATTTTTTCCAGATCAAAATCCGTAGGTAATGACAGTAATGTCTGAGAAGCAGCTGCAAAATAAATTCAAGAAAAGTTTCCCCCTTGTATTTACAGTGATGTTGTTTTACAAATACACACAAGATTCATTGATATAGAACTGCTATCGACAGTGACTTTCATTTTTCATGTGAATATAATATAATACACTACAATATATAGCAGCAACAAAATTACATTGATATAACTTCTTTCATGTCGGAAGGGTGTCCAAAAGAGCTAGACAGTTAAAGCTTTGCACCCAAACTGGGGGTTGAAATCAAAAAGTGTGGAGTGTAGGGGGGGTGGGAGGGTGGCCAAAAGCACGGTCAAAAAAATGTTAAGCACTTTGAGACGCTGCCCTTGTGAGGAAGCTATATAAACACAAATTATTGTTGTTGATTGTCAAACGTTATCCCTAAATAATCGTCACAGGCAAGATGCCGGAGAACAAGAGACACCATGAAACGTATACCCAAAAGAAAGGGCAGAGCTAAATGGCTCCAAGAGTGAATGGAGGAAACAGAAAATGAAAAGTACTTCCTTCAGTAATGTTTTTAGGTCCATAATGCAAATGAATCCTTAACTGGAGATTTTTTGCCAGTGGTCATGCCTTCGCCCCAAATTTCTGGAACTCCCTGCCTCAATCCCTCCACCCTCACCCCACTTTTTATCCATCTTTACATTCCGCCCAATGATCTAACTCTTCAACCACTCCTATGTTCACCTTCATCTTACCCGCTCAGAATCCAACCCCGCCACTGTGCAGTGCTCCAAGACAATATCCTGCATAATGATGTTATATAAATGCAAATTGTTGTTGCAAGCAGAACAAACCAAAGAAAAATATACAACTTTAAGATCCTGTAATAGATTCACCGAACATTTCTATGGTAACTACTAACCATTTTGTTTTCCAGTCAACATGACAGATTCTTTTGGATTAATAGGAGAATCACGATTCCAGGACAAACCTTAAATGGAAAATAAAAATGATAATCTTGTAAAATGCCATGCACATAGGTTACACTCTATTAAGGCTGCTGATCCTTGCCACATCTCTCCAGCATCAAGGATATGGGAAATCTACCGAGTGACATGTCATTTTGCATCAGGTATGTTTTGTATCATGTGTAAATCTAAGTGCTTTATGCACCTTTAACCATGTATAAGCACACTTGATGCATAAAAGACCTCATCACCTCAAATACTTAGAAAAGGCTGGGAATCACCAAAAGTTTTCTTTACTACCAAATTAATGGGAAGAAAACAAAGCAGATTACACCCAGGAAAGAAAACAATGGCTGCAATCGGAAAAAGCAGTATCCCAAATCGTACAATTAGTTTATTACTTTGCACATAAGATGTGCAGTAATAGACAAGATACTACTGTATATGTCTTGCAAGGCTGTATCCCTGGAATTTTTTCTTCCAGAATGCAGAGCACTAACAAATGACCTAATAACATGGAAGTCAACCACATTAGCTCTAACGCCAGTCATCACACGAAGAAGCTGGCTGAACATACGTGCAGTGAATGGTTCCACAGTGCGACAGCATTATAACTGAATTTGCATTATAATGTTGCACACTATAATTGCACTGCACTGTAAAAGTCTATACAACCACTACAATCCATTGTCTATTTTAAAACTCACAATTTGTTCGATGGTTGTGTGCAACTGTCTTGCCCTCAGATTCAGTCCAAGGAGAAGGAACAATGACGCTATTCAAGAAAAACTAAAAAAAAAGTCAGGAAAACAGAAAAGAAATCAGGACACATTTTGCATTGAAACAGCACATAATCATTAATGGAACGTTCCAGTTTAATATAGGATCAATATCTCAATTCAATCTAAAAAGTCATTAAATTCGCACCAATCAAATTATTCCTGAGCAACACCACATCTTGCCCCATCACACCTATCCATTCAAACAACATAGAAAAAGGATTGTGGGTTCAAGCCCATGTTAGGACTTTGAACTCAGTGTAGGCTGACACTACAGTGACGTGCTAGGGGGTACTGCATTGCTGGAAGTGCCGTCATTCAAATGAGACACTGAACCAACTTGGTGTCTGTCTGTACAAGTGGATTTTAAAGATCACATAGCTCTATTCAAAAAGAGAAATGAGTTTCTCTCGGTGTCCTGGGCAAAACCCCCCAAATAATATTGGTCATTCACTTCTGTTCGATCCTGAGTTGTCCTTTCTCCCCCATATCCGCGCCACAACTGGCACCGCCTTCCATCACCTCCGGAATGTCGCCAGACTACGGCACTACCTCACCCCTCACGCCGCTGAAACCCTGGTTCATGCCTTTGTCACCTCAAGGCTGGACTATGGGAACTCTCTCCTCGCCGGCCTTCCCGGCACCTCCCTCCACACGCTGCAGGTCATTCAGAACTCTGCAGCTCGTGTACTGTCCCGCACCAGGCTTCGCGACCACATCACTCCCACCCTCGCTCGCCTCCACTGGCTCCCCATCCCCCAGAGGATCGAATTCAAGATCCTCATCCTCACCTACAAGGCCATTCACGGCCTTGCTCCCTCCTACCTCTCCAACCTACTATCCCCCTACTTACCTGCCCGTACCCTCCGTTCCTCCGGCTCCGGTCTGCTCCACATCCCCCGCCCCAACCGCCCTACCATCGGTGGCCGGGCCTTCAGCCTCTCAGCCCCTAGGCTCTGGAATTCCATCCCCCAGTGCCTTCGCCGCCTCCTCTCTTTCCTCCTTCAAGGCCGATCTCAAGACCTTTCTCTTTGACCGAGCCTTCAGCTCCCCTCTCGACTCTCTACCCCCTCCTCGCTCTCTCCCTTCCCTCCCCTCACCCTGACCATTTCCCCTTGCTCGGGTCCTGACCCAACTGTCCAGCGCCTTGGGACGTCCTCCCGACGTGAAAGGCGCTCTATAAATGGAATCTTTTTGTTGTTGTTGTTGTTGTTTGTGGGGCACTGCGGTGTACAAATGAGCTGCCATGGTCGCCTACAAAATAGTCACCACAGTAAAATAATAATAATTCTTGCATTTGATATAGCACCTCATCAAGTCATTGAGACGTTTCAAAGCGCTTCGTATAATAATAATCCTTGCACTTGATATCGCGCCTCATCACGTCGTTGAAATGTCTCAAAGTGTTTCACAAAATATATCATGAAGTGAACTGACTATATTGTGAGTGAAAGCATATCTTATGAAGTGCTTTGAGATGTCTCCCAACATGAAAGGCACTATATCAAATGCAAAAATTATTTTATTAAAACAAAACCATATAAATATTAAAGAAAAGCCTAACTGGTGTTAAATTGTGTTCATTAACCCTCAAGACTCACGATCCGCCAATTGACTAACAACTGGGCTCCTACTTACTGCTACGTAAACAGAGGTATGTGGAGTCAGGAAACTTGCCCAACATTTCGCCCTGCTGGGAATCGGACACAGGTCTCTCGCTTGCGAGGCGAGTGCTCTAAGAACTGAGCTACAGAACTCCAACTATTGAAACATCTGGAGTGCTTTACTGTAATATTAACCATATCCACCACAAAGATTACACTTTAAACAATGACTTTCGTTCGTCCCATCACCCCATACCCTCCCTGTTTTCTCTCTGTATTCTATTAAAAAAATCCTCCTTCCCCAATTTCTTCCCTTCGAGTTGCCGTAGTACAATTACACAGGCTCTGGAAACCCTCTCACACCATGCACAAGTCTTCATTCTTCATAAATAAAATATAAAATATTACAGATGCTGAAATCTGAAACAAAAACAAAGATCGCTGTGAACGCTCAGCAGGTCAGGCAGCATCTATGGAGAAAAGAAAGTTCTGACGAAGAGTCAAGGACCCGAAACGTTGACCCAACCCACTTTCCTTTCACCAAAGATGCTGCCTGACCTGCTGAGCATTCCCAGTGACTTCTGTTTTTGTTTCCTCATTCTTCATCTTTGTGTTCCTAAACTATTTGATAGGGGAGAAGAGTCTTTCACTGAAGCCCTAGAATAGATTCCTTATTGGCCAACTACTACTAAATAGAACAATGTATTTACCTCGTCAATGGCTTTTTGTTTCTTTGCCTCAATATCATGGTCTAGTCTGTAGAGAATAAAAATACAATTGTTTACAAATATGCATCAATACCACAATGTTGGATTTCAGTTTTATAGGGAACATTTTTGAGTGCTGAAAAATTGCCTTTTTGAGCTTTTTCAGGGGGTTACACTCCTAGTTCAATTTCAATTAGGGGAGTAACTTGCAAAGTAAGCCCAGAGAGCTTGTTTTTCATGCTCACAAAGAACAACTGAGACCTTGCTGAATTCTTCTAGGTCAAGCAGAATTTTGATCCCATGAACATTTCTTAGTAAATAACACCAACATTGCAGAAACAAGAGAAAGTAATTGACGAGGGAATCAAAATGAAAGACTGACTAATGAATTAATGAAATCAGCAACTATATCAAGTGATGATTCATTCGCTGTTGAATAATGATACATGCTCCCAGCATATTTTTTAAACTATCTTTGCCAATTCCAAGTTTCCCTGAGTAAGTGATTGTGGACCTTCTCTTTAAACAACTGCTATGGGAATTTAAATGAATGTGAATAAGCTAAATCATATATGCATATTGCTCCAATTGAATGAACTGTTTGCAAAATATAGGAGAATAAAAACAATAACCTCATATATGCAGATTGCTGATGAATATCTTCTGGGTCTATTTCAATTGGATACAACATTGCAAGCTGTCCAATGGACCATCTGAATTTTCCAGGTGTCTATAAAATGAGGAAAGCTCATAAATCTTCAAGGTATACACCAATGACCTCAGTACACTGTTGATATTCTTAAAGAAATCTACGTAAAAGTGATCTCTAAATGATCATCAATATTGTATTGTTAACATCAATTGCTACTGTTAAGTCAAAAAAGAATGGCGAATAGATCCACACAACCCATCTTTATCTTCACTTGTTTTCATAGTACAATAGAAAGAACAGGCATCATATTACAACATAGTACAATAGAAAGAATATCAACATATTTAGAGTGGACAAAGAAACAGTCCTTTTGGGATGTAGTACAATACTTTTTTCATCCATGACTATTTAACATCCAGCCCTACAATGTTTCAAAAAGGGAACTCTCTCTTTGATTTTAAGAATTCTCTTAGCCCAACACTTAATACAACAACAAGACTACATTTGTATAGCGCCATTCACGTCGGGAGGATGTCCCAAGGAGCTGGACAGAGTACAGCATTTCAGACCCGAGCTGGGTTGGGGATTAAGGGAGAGGAGGGGAAGGGGGGTGGCCGATGGCATGGTCGAAGAGGAGGGTCTTGAGGCAGGATTTGAAGAAGGCTAAGGAGGGGGTGAGGTGGAGTCAGTGGGGGATGGAATTCCAGAGGTTGTGGGCAGAGTGGCTGAAGGCTCTCCCACCAATGGTGGGGCGGGTGGGTCGGGGGACGTGGAGCAGGCCAGAGCCGGCTGAGCGGAGGGAGCGGGCGGGTTGGTAGGGGGTTAGGAGGTTGCAGAGGTAGGGTGGGGTGAGGCCATGGAGGGCTTTGTAGGTGAGGACCAGGATCTTGAACTGGATCCTCTGAAGAATAGGGAGCCAGTGGAGTCGGGCGAGAGTGGGGGAGTGGGTCACAGAATTTGGTGCGGGAGAGGACACGGGCTGCAGAGATTTGGATTATCTGCAGCCTGTGGAGGGAGGAGTTAGGAAGGCCGACAATCATAAAATACAAAGCCGATTTTAACTGTTTTGCAATTCTAGTAAATTAGATTTTCAAATGTAATCATTTCTATTATAAGCATCTTTCTACAACAATATCAAACTTAATGCTAGTGTTTCAAATGACAGTAGACTGAGTTCTTGTTCATGTGTGCTGGTGGGCCTTAAACATATCACGATTTTATTTTGATGAAGGTCAGGCAAATCTCACAGCACCCTAGCTTTCACTCATATTTTAAACATCACGATACAAAGTGCAAGTGTTATTGTTGAAAGCACTTCAAGACATTATATAAAAGACATTATATAAATCAAGACGTTATATAAATGCAAGTTGTTGTTACATGCTCGGTCAAGAGATTAGTGTTTCGCTAACGTAATGATCACAACCAGTAATGAATGAAAACTCCTTTTTGAAAGACTAACCTGTGTGTCTGGGGTTTTAACTGATTTAAAGACTGAAGGACTGGGAGCCACTGGTTCATGTAAACTTGCATAATCACTGGGACTCTCAAAGGGGTTTATTATAGTAGGTCTCCCAGGTGTGTCAGGTGTTATTTGTAACCCAATCTCACTCTTCACATCCATTATTTCAAGGGTACACAGCTTTTTTTTATTTGCAATGCCTCAATTTGTGGAAAAGCAGAATCTGTGTAGAAATAAAATACAACATTAAGTACAAATTATAACATTTTAAGACAAGTGACTAATTTGTGAATGAGAAATATTATAGCATTTACCTTCTTTACTAACCTAATAATCCTTCAAAAATAAAAACAATTATAATTTGGTCACTCAATCCATGACTGTGTGTGGGACACTGCTGTGCCCAATTGGCTGCCGCATTTCACTCACAAATATACAGTCAATTCACTTTACAGAGTATTCTGTGAAGCGCTTTGGAACGTCTAGAAGACGTGAAAAGCGCTATATCAAATGCAAGGATTATTACTATTATTCATTATTATTATTGTAATCATTCCATGAACTTAAAGCAGTGGCTGGTAATAGTGTGGATAAATAAAAGCAGAATCTACTATTTTATCCAACCCCCCACAATCCAGGTTTCCGAATATCCACTGTAATTGAGAAAGCAGATAACCTTTATTTGTTTTTACAACCATTGCTCCCAACAGCAATTTAAATTAACGCAGCACCTTTCACACCAAGCGGACATCTCAAAACATTGAACAAAGCTGACTGGAAGCCTGACTGGTGGGTGGGGGTATTGATGGCTGACAGCCTGTTTAAAAAGGTGTGATGTGAAGGTGGGAAAGGAGAACAAGGCAGTGAGAAGGAGGGAAAGGCGGAGGGACTCCAGGATGGAGAGTTGGCGGGCTCTCTTTATATATACTCTCTTATATATATATTATACATTACAATCTTTGGAATTTCCATGTGTAGATGGTTTGCAAGTTGCATGGAACACTCAGCTTGGTTTAGATCCTGTTAAGCATGGATGGGTCTCCGCGTGTGTCAGACACCTGGCTAACCAACAAAAAAACTCTCATACTGTCTCTCCGTCGCTCTATTTAATTTTTGCATGTATGGGGATGCCCCAAAAGTAGTGCCTCCTATTTACTTTGTGAAGAATAGTAAGTGGCATAATAATGAAAAACATACCCAAGATAAACATAAACTCAAGAGCGTTCAGTGCCTGCTGAGCAGAGGGAGTGGATAAGTTGGTATGGTCTTAACAGGTCGCAGAGTTGGGAGGAGCAAGGCCGTGGGTGGACTTTAAAAGTGAGGATGAGGATGTTAAATTCGAGGGATGGGGAGCCAGTGGAGCCGAGCGAGGAAGGGATGATTGGTTTCACAGAACTTGGTACGGGAGACGATACGAGCTGTAGAGTTCTGAATAATCTGCAACTCTCCAGAAAACCCACTCTACAGTTCCCACCCCACCCACGCAATCACTGAATCAAGCTTTTTTCAAAAAAAATTAGTCCAGTATCCTGGCCCCTACCACCTTTCTTGGCAACCGGTTCCAGTCGTTGATTACCCTCCGGAAAAAGAAGATTCCTGGCATCTGTCCTAAATTGTCCTTTACAATTCTGAATTTATGTCCTCTTGTTCTACCGTTATGCTACATCGCATAGTAATGATCTGGGTTTACTTTTTCAATCCAATTTAAAACTGTACAGCCCGACCTTGTCTGCTTGTTGCTCAAAGCACATTTGCCAACACTGAGGATGATCCTCATTATTTTCCTCTACACCGCCTCAAGGTGCTCGGACAACCTCCTTATGTCATGATGACCAGAGTGTCTGTCTGTCCAGTATTGGAGGTGCAGTCTGACCAGAGCTCTGTACAGCCGGACAATGATGTCTGGATATCCAAACTCAATTGATTTAGCAATATAGCCAGGCATGCTGCTTGCCTTGTTTATTGCCACCTCACATTGTTTTGACCAGTCAACTCCACATCGTGGAGTCCTGTAGTTCAGTGGTTAGAGCACTCGCTTTGCAAGTGAGAGACCTGAGTTCAATTCCAGGCAGAGGGCGAAACCTTGGGCAAGTTTCCTTACTCCACACAGAGCCTAATAATAATCCCTCCAAAACCAAAAACAATAATTGGTCATTTTCAATCCACGACTGTTTGTGGGACATTGCTGTGCGCAATTGGCTGCTGCGTTCGCCCACAAATATACAGTCAATTCACTTTACAGTGTGTTCTGTGAAGCGCTTTGGGACGTCCTCCCAACGTGAAAAGCGCTATATCAAATGCCAGGATTATTATTATTATTATTATTATCCCCTGATCTCTTTCAGGTCCCCCCTTAACAAATTTATATATACACACTGTCCCACAGTATATTTTATTCCTCTCTCTCTCTCTCCCCCCCACCCCCCGCCCCCGTTTAACTGTACATATAGTCTCTGCACTTTATTATATTAACTCACTCATTCTCTCGCCGTCACTGTGTGTGTACATACATATGTTTTGTATTATATTATGTTACATAATATGTTGGGAGTGTGTCACTCACCCTCTGGCCGCCTGTGTGTTATTGTACAGTATAATGTTATATCCTCCGGTGTGTATTATAGTGTGTAATATAACGTCGGTGTCTCTCACCCTCCGCCGCCTGTGTCCGCTGTGGCCGCCACGGTTTGATTTCGGGACTGGGCCAATGAGCGGCGGCGGCCCGGCTGCCGGGGACCAATCACGTTCAGCTTGGTTTCGGGGCTGGACCAATGAGCGGCGGCGGCTCGGCTGCCGGGGACCAATCACATTCAAACCGCCGCTGGGATTCAAATCGCGATTCAAACCCCACTTTATTGACACCAACAGTAACCGTCGCCAGCGGCCCGCGGGCCGCCCCCCCCCCCCCCGCCTGACACTGAGAGGGAGGGGAGGCAGACAGACAGACAGACAGGCGGCGGACACGGCCTCAGTGTCAGATTATCACCCGCTAACCGCACTTGATGGTCGGTTCGCTTGTATTTCCGGGTGAGAGGTGACGGAATGGCGGGCGCCGTGAACCTCAACTCAGTGAGAGAGACGATGGAGGGTGAGTCACGCGGTAACCGGGGTCTCCTTGGAGCTGACCTGGCTACAGGGTGACATGTTTGGCATGTGGTGGTGTGGGGGGGGTCTCCGGTCTGGTGCTGAGCCTGGCGGGGCGGCAGTGTTGCCGGGCGCTGCTGGTGGCAGCACGGCCAGCCTGGCAGGGCAGGGCAGGGCAGGGCAGGGCAGCCCCGTCACTGGGGGCAGGGAGTCACCCCACTCAGCTCCTGATAACCCCGCAGCCACAGCACTAACGGATACAGTGGTCCTCGCTGGACAAGCGGCCGGAAAGCTTGTCAGAGGCCATGTAAGTTTGGCTGTTTTAGCGGGTTAGACTCCAGCAGTTACCCCAACACGCTCTGGGGTCCCCAAGCTTTGGCTTTTGCCAACCTGCGCCTAATACTTTCTGGAATTAGGTAAAGCAGGAGGCGTCCCTCCCTCCAGGGAGAGAGTGCGCATTCCAACATCTGTCTCCGGGATTTCCATGTGCAGGGGATGTATGGAAATCTCAGCTCGGTTTGGATGGCCATAAGCGTGGCCATGGGTTTTCACATGTGGCGGATGCATACGTCTGACCAAAAAAGAGTGATGTCAGAGAGAGAGAGAGAGAGACGATGGAGAGACAGTCACATTTATAGAGAGAGGCGATGGAGACTGAGTGATGTCAGAGAGAGTGAGAGAGGCGATGGAGACTGAGTGATGTCAGAGAGAGTGAGAGAGGCGATGGAGACTGAGTGATGTCAGAGAGAGAGAGAGAGGCGATGGAGACTGAGTGATGTCAGAGAGAGTGAGAGAGGCGATGGAGACTGAGTGATGTCAGAGAGAGAGAGAGGCGATGGAGACTGAGTGATGTCAGAGAGAGAGAGAGAGGCGATGGAGACTGAGTGATGTCAGAGAGAGAGAGAGAGGCGATGGAGACTGAGTGATGTCAGAGAGAGTGAGAGAGGCGATGGAGACTGAGTGATGTCAGAGAGAGAGAGAGAGGCGATGGAGACTGAGTGATGTCAGAGAGAGTGAGAGAGGCGATGGAGACTGAGTGATGTCAGAGAGAGAGAGAGAGGCGATGGAGACTGAGTGATGTCAGAGACAGACATACAATGAAGGGCAAGTCATGTCAGTGAGAAAGAGAGATAATGGAGGTGAGTGATCACACACAGAGAGATATTGGAGGTGAATAGTATCAGAGAAAGAGATAAGGGGGTGATGGTGTGAGGGAGAGACATTCTGGGCATGTGATTATAGTCTATTCTCAAAAGCTAACATACCTGTAAAGTGCTAAAGAACATTATAGGAAGACCCAAGACAGAATATCAGAAGAGATGACTGTAAGGTTTTCTCTATCTTCTCTATCTGTTCAGTACAATTAACAAATCTGACAATTTGTTTCTCTTTCAGTTCTCCTCGAGATCTCCAGGTTGTTAAACACTGGTCTTGACATGGAGTCTCTCTCAATTTGTGTCCGTCTTTGCGAACAAGGAATCAATCCTGAAGCCTTGGCTTCGGTTATTAAAGAGCTTCGGAAGGCTACTGAAGCACTCAAAGTAAGAAGCATTCATTTAGAATTAGAATGACTGACCATATTCACATGTATCATGTTGGTAAGGGTATTATGTCGTCAAATTAGAACACTGCTCCTTCTTTGGGGGTTGGTGACAAAGGAATTTCATGACTGACAAAAGGGATCAAACCTGAGGAGTATTGCTGAGGGAAATCGGTGAGCAAGTCAGGTCCACAATAATCTAGGCCACTGGTGATGATCGAGCAGCCTGCCAAGCTCATCAGATAGACTGGGAATGGTAGGGAGGATGGAATTCTATTGTTTTGGACCTTTGACGTTGGTATCCGAGTAGAAATTGTGGTTTTATCTGGGCAAGTAACTAATCCCAGACTGAAGGCATGTCTGGCATGTCTTGTGTCAGTATATCAGTAGTTCTACTTCGTGGATGCAACACTTATAGGTTTTACCTTACTGTATCCAGTACTGTAAATGTAGTGTTTTTGTAACTTGTTTCAACAAGTTGGACACCTATCTGCATTGAGCTGATGTTGACTGTTATTGTAAAGTAATAAATAAATCATTATTATTGACATTTAGCGATGGAGAGTTTTTATATTTTATTATATTGTACAGGAAGAAGAAGGAAATGCATACATGACGAAAAAAGGAATAGAGGGGTATGGGAATAGGTAGAGGTGGAGTATAAACATGGAGTATAAAGCTGGCACAGATGAGTTGGGCCAATGGCCTGTTTCCATACTGTCTATAGGTGTAGGAAAGATCCCAGATATATACTGCTGCATCAGTTAAGATTAATGTTTCCACATTTCAAGCAGGAAGTAAATGTTGCTAGCATGAACTGGAAAAGTTTTGTTTCTTAAACCTTCACTGTTTCTCCTTCCTAGAGTGTTGAAAATATGACTGGTTGATGTGTTCGTAGCTGTGGCTGACTTCATTGCACTGAAAATAATTTGGATGGAAGAATATATCTAGCTGACGAAAACGTCAGTTCCTGCAATTAAATGTTGTATGATTTAACATTTTCCACTATGTAAATTGTGTTAATTTTAACATAAAAATACCTGGTATCTAGAATCTTGGTTAGATTCATTATCCCATATTTAAAATTATTTGGAGATTTTAATAATTTCAAAGAAGTGAACCCATAAGTATTATCCTAAATACATTTGATTTCTTACAGGAGTGGAAACTCCTATATATCTACAACTATATGAGTATTGATTGTCCCTGTATAATTGTAAATATACCTTTATTGTACAGCCTTTTTATTTTTTAAAAGCTTTGATATCCTGATCTAGAGTTAACTTAACTATCCCCTAACTGTGGCTGTAAACCTTTTCATTCTTTTGTATAGTTTTATATTATTAGGTTAGGGTTGCCATGGTAATTGATACAAAAATTATATTGTGAAAAATGGAAACCTGATGACATTCATCTTTTTATTGCTGTTATAATTGTAGACTCTGTCTTCCTTATAGCTCCACCACAATCTGCAGAAAATACACAGTAGTTCATACTACACATTTACCTTTGCAAAAAATGAAAATAATTTATTCTATAATGATGCAATTGCAGAAGTTGTTATTTGTTTGCAATAGATCTTGCTCCTCCAGCAATTAGTTTTGATTTAGCTACTGGGGAATGAAATTCTTTCCTACACACCCTTGTTGAGGTCAGGGCAATAAATCTTGGCTGTCCCACTGATGCATTGATTTTTATAATGTTGACTGACGAATGGGTCAATCACTGCAAGATAGTTCTAAATGTCCATTCACCCTGAAGCCCTTTATTAGAATAGAGGATTCAAAATGCGTATCAGTGGCCTAAACACAACTATAACTACATCACAGAAATAAAGTGCCCAACCATGAACATATTTGATTTGAATTAAATGTTGTACACATTACACTTTTCTCACATGGACGACTACACTAAGAAATTGCAGATGGTCATTGGAGGAAACATCTTATTGTACAACATGTTGAATTAAAGGATTACGGATTAACCTCAGAACCAGTTAAATAACGCACATAGAATCGGAAGAGTGTTTAGACATGGGGTCCATTTAAAGTCGAAAGTCAAGATCCAGACATCTGCATGTTCCCTCTAGGTTTCAGTTTCTTGAGATTTCATTTGTTAATACTTGCACAAAACAATGAAAATATTCAAAGGCAGATTTGCTAAAGGTTAGCACATTGGATTTGACCAAAAGGTTAAGTAAACCATAAAATACAAGCACTTAGAGGAAGCTCATTTATTTTAGAATTAATGCTACAGAATGACAAGTCTGAAATATGGAATATTAAAAGTAAGATGTGAAGTGTCTTAGAAAAATCAATGGAGACCTACACAAAACAACCATATCCATGCCATCTCATTAAAAAAAATTTTTTAGGGCCTTCACTGAAGAAACACTTTTATCCAATTTAAACATTCCTGAACAGAACTAATGGCCATTTGCTTTTTATGTGAAAATCTGTATACTCCTATTTTTTCTGTTTACAATGTGTACCTGTTTGCTCGAGGCAATTTTACAGATCTTATGAGTACTGTACCAATATCTAGAGTAGTTCAAACTTCAGCAGGAGTCCTGCTGTGTGTGCCATAAATGCTTATAAGAATGTTAATGTAGTGCATTGTTGATAAGTTTATATTGCTTTTCAGTTGCAAGCTGCTAAGCTTTTCCATAAAATGTGCACTATCAGTAGTGGGCTCAGGCAGTGGAGTCCTGTTGCTAGCACTAACTGGAGCATGTTGTAGAGAGCAGGGAGATTTGCACGCTCTGCAATACGGTGCACTGCACCTGCTCCCCCTTGTGTTTTATTGAAAAATTCATTATTCTGAATTTAGGAATGTTTCAAAACACATTAGTGGATGGAACATGTTTAGGAATACCAAATATTGACTATAATATTCATTTCACTTCTAATTAACTTCTTCAAGCTGGCTATTCTATGTGAAATTTCCTATCGAAGTGTAATTTGTTGTTGCCGTCTGCAGTGGACAAGCTTCTTGCATAAGCAATGATAAATAAAGGCTATACCAAGAATTGCAAGTAATTGTTCATTGGTACCCCTCTCCTGTGAAGTATCTTCTACCCTATAACATCTGCAGGATCTTAACCTCTGGTTGAAACCCATCCATTTGATGTGTAGTAAAATTGTCCTTTATAATCCTAAACTGATCTTATTCTGCTGCTTTGACGTATCTGAAAGTATCGTTCTGAGTTTACTTTCTCAATCCCATGTTTAAAATCTTATATACCCCTGTGAAGACCACTTCTGAAAAACCTTTTTTTCGAGACAGAACAGTCCCAGCTTGTAGCTCATTCCTCTTAACACTGATGATCATTGCTCTCTACTGCACTGCCCCTCAGAAGCTCTGTTGTGGCTGAGCTGTACACAATGCTCCAGATACGTACAACCTGAGCATCTGGGAATCTGGCATCTTATTTTCATCAGCATCCTATTTTCTTTGTTTAATACTTCCTCACATTGTTTTGACATGGTGAGCAATGAATCAACCAGATCTCTTTCAGCCTCCGAAATGGCAAATTCTATCCGATTAACAGTGCACAAATCAGCTGCCGCATTCCCATACAAATACACAGTCATACTTTAAAGTCCAATTCTGTGCAGAGCTTTCAAATGTTTTGGCAACATAGTAAGGTGCCATATCAAATGCAAGAATTATATATCATAAATACACAAACCTTTTACCCTGTACATAAGTAACATGCAGGGTCAGTGCCAACCAACATCAGCTTCCCTGGCGTTCAAATCATTATATGAAGCTATTGATTTCCACAGATTTTCCCCAGAATGTGATCCATTCCTGATGTATATCCAGTTTCAGATACAGCAATAATTTATTTGGCAGATCTGTGACTAAATGTATTCTAACAGAAGATATATTAATCCCTGATTAAACATGTCTTAATTGCACGGATGTTAAGCACTCAAAAAATAAAACTATTACTTAATTCAGTCTGTTATATAGCATGGAGGGTGCTATATAAGTGCAAGTTGTTGTTCTATCCTTAATTATTGGTTTAAGTACTGATATTCTGCTTGTATGGTAATTCTTAAAGCCTGTTATTAATTCACAATGCACAACGACAGCGATTAAAGCACACAAAACATGTTGTACAGTGCCACAAAAAATATTTTTCACTAATGTTATGGGGGTGAGGAGAGGGGAAATACACCTGGTGATGTTTAATGTTTATGACATTGGTTAAGTATTCAATCAAAAAGCACAACCCGATTGTGACGGGTTCGGAAGAAGGGGAGAGAACCAATGTACTTGTGAATTAAGCCTCACAATTTTGATTGCATGCACAACTGTTATGGAGAGGTCAGAGGGTTAGTAAGTTGCTGCAGTAACATACATTACCCGCTACATTTTTTAAGAACTCCACAAAATTAAACCAGCAAGGAAAAGGACAATTAAGAAGTAGAAAGCTGAGAACAAGAGCAGATCAAACCTGACTCATTCGTGCAGGTGAGGAACAAGGGTGAAGAAAATTGAGCTGGTTTCAGCTCAGATGGGGAATGCTCAGTAAAGTCACAAAATAGTTCCAAGCGTTGCGTATGGAACCCACCAGATAATGTGGTGGGTGACGTCATAATAATAATAATCCTTGCATTTGATATAGCACCTAACAATGTCTCAAAGTGCTTCACAGAATAAATTATTATTATTAGTCATGACCAGGGAACTTGCAAACTCGATTGAATACTCATTTGAATGGAGACTCAATGTCTGTTAGAATGTTGCCTTCATGGTATCGTTTTGGGCATTTACAACCCACAGGTAACAGGAACCGTCTCACTGTCTCAGTTAAAGAATGTTGTTGTTGTTGTTGCTGCTGTCCGAAGAGGGCCTGATTTCCCTGAAAACTCATTGTCTGTAAGAATGTGTATTTTGTGAATGTGAGAGTACGCACACAAGTACCCACTAGGTGTTTGAGCAGGTAGGTGGGTTGCGCCTTGGAGGGACTAGTAACAAGTGGGTCAGCTCAGTCACCCCACTCAAACATAAATCATTTTAGGTATTACGACTCCGACTTAATTTAAGGCTTTGGGGAGTCATCAAAATATATGCTTGGGTCTATTAAATATTTTCAATTTATTTTGAGAAGTGCGTATTTTAAATCTGTTAACATAAATGGGATACTGGTTTTATCCTCACGACTTGAAAAGACCCGACTCTAATCACTGAAGCATTGGGCATAAAATACCAAGCTCCGTGACATTATGCACGTCACTGCGTGATACACTTTGGAACAAGATATCCTGCACCAAATGGCTTTGCAGCTGTGGCGAACTATACAAAATCTAGCCAATTGCACTGGTTTTGTTTGCTCTGATTCAGAAAGTTCAGGCAGAGACCATAGTGATTTTACCGGAATTTGAGAATCATTCAAGCTCCCAAAGTTTTATGTAATCAGATTACTCATTAAATTAAGTAGGGACCTTGACCACAGTTGCTTTGTATGCTCCTCTTACTTTAGCTCTGAACACAGCATTGTTTTAGATTATTAATACACCACCAGATGGCAGAAAAATGCTAGTCTTTTCAAACAGTGAGTGAGTGCAATTCCACAGGTTGAATTTGTCACAACCAGAAGCCTGGGTTGGCTAATCAGCTTTCGGTTACGCAAGCCCATAATCTGACGTGATCTTTTGTGGTGAGGGCATAAAAATACAATAAACATATACAGAGGTAGATAATTGGGAGGAGGTACAAAATAGTCTTATCACATTGGCGAGATTTATTGCAATGTGTAGTGACTCTATTTTGTTGGCAAATGTGCCAGCCAATTTGTGCACAGCAATGTCCCACAAACAAACAACCATTAAGTAAATGACCAATTCTATCTGAAAGATTGTTGGCCAGGACATCGAGAGAAACTACTCTTTACAAATCGTCCCATGGGTTCTTTAACATTGACCTTAACAGGCAGAGACGGGTGTTCGGTGCAACATCTCATCCGAAGAACAGCTCTGCTGACAAAGCAGCGCTACCAGAACTCAAAAGTCCCATTCATAGCAGACCTGACTTTTACAAGTTAAAAGTTGCATGAATTAGAGTTGGTGGCAAAACTGTATTGAATATACGTCAAGACCCAAATAAATGTCCCAATAATGTCCCACAAATTATTCAATAAGTTATTAAATTAATTTGTTTTCAGAGTCTTTGTTTCATCCATGACCTCTTTTTTTGTTCGCGGTTTTGGTCTCATTCATGTCAGCTGCACTCAATATCGGAATTTACATAAAAAGCGTCCAGATCCACTCAATGTTCAACTGATTACAGACTACCATAACATCTGAGTGTTATAGAAAGCTTTGTATAAAATATTGTAGCACTTTGTAAAGGTTTTTGTACTATTCACAAACATCAAGGCATGAAGTTGATTGGTGTTTCTTGTCAGAATGCTTTCTAGTTAGCAGAAATCAGCATACCTGTAATTGTGATGAATTATGTGTGGTGTCACACAAGTATCATTTCAGCATTTTGTTTAATTTTTATGAAGATGTAAAATATTAATACTCTAATGATGGGCTGCAGCTAACATTATATGCTTTAGTTCTCTATAGTCCTGTACCTCCACGACCTTCTTCAAGCCTAATGATCTGCCGCTCTCTCTGCTCAGAGCCTGCTTCATGTCCCCCACCAAGCTCCAAGCTATTCTTCCCCCCCTCTCTGGAACTCTATTCTTGAGTCTGTCTAATTCGCTCTCTCCCTCATCTCGATTCAAAGTCTGTCTCAAAATCTCTTTGATCATGCTTTTTGTCATCTTTCCTCTCCGCACTCATTTTGGCTTTCACCCACAGCTTATTTACCTAACAAGCAATGTTAAGCACTTTGAAACATCCTCACGACTTGAAATATGCTTTATAAATGTAAACTGTACTGTATAAATAGTTAAGTAACCTGAAACGTCGGAAACCTTTTGAATGTAAAGTGATTTTGACCACTCTTTTTTCTTTACTCCTCAAATTCAAAGTGTACGAGTGATTCCCTCATAGATATTACATAACAGATGTTGAGATGGATCTACATTTTCTTCACACTAACGTTACTGATATCAGTGAGAAATTTATTTATACTATATATCAGCACTTTTGTTGGATAGAATACAATTTCAGTGAAGATGTTTGTTCTCAAAATAGTTAGTGTGAGTATTCCCTTTTGTGAAGCTGAGCATTATCCTATCCATTCCACCAATGGATTCTAATACACAGCATTGAAATAATAAATTCTGACTTTCAGACTGCCCTTGGGACTACTTGCATAGTACAGTCATGGCAATAAGAAAATGCCAAGAACCATAAAAACAAAGAAAATATGGTTTAAAAAGTCTTCTGAGCCCTAAGATTGTCATAACCTCTTGTAATACGTTCCAAACCAAATCAACTGTAGGGTACTGTATATGTGTCCCGTACATATAATCGTGATACATGCATTTGCAACTTATCAGGTAGTCAAAACGTGTCAAGATGCTTCACATAATTTTACTGAAAAGTGTAGTAACTGTGTATCTGTTAGGGAAAGTGGCAGCCAATTTAAGCACAGCAAATTCCCATAAAGAGTCATGAAGCGAATGAGCAAATTTAGCTGGAAGAGTGTTAATCAGAATCCTGGGAGAAACTCTCTTCTCAACAACAACAACAGAATTACATTTATAGAAAGTCTTTCACATCGGGAGGACGTCCCAAAGCACTGATTCTCTTTTAATTCTCTTTTATTCTCTTTTAATAACTTAATGTCAAATGTATTTCCTGTGGGCATGTGGTGCCAGTGTCAACTATACTGAAATCACCTGTTAGCAAGGATAGACAGAAAGCCGTGGCTCACTGTAGTATACCATCCGGTGACCCGAAGAGATGGGGACAGGGATAGATTTCATTGTGTTACTGGACTTCTATATGTTGTATATAATCTGGAAGTATATTACACCCCTAATAAAGTAGAACAATGTCCACAATCTTCTAAATGTCAGACATTGCTCTTTTAAAACAGTTTTACTCACTTGTTCAT